CCCAGGAGGGCAGGTCTGACCCTCACAGCTCTCTCCTTCCCAGCAGAGCTTCTCACACAGCACGCTCTGTTGCTGGGCTATAGGGAATTTTTGTCCTGGTTTTCTTGACGTGATCCTTTTCAGACAGAAAACCCTGACTCATGAAGCTGTGACGTTGAATGTGCTGCTGTGTAAGGCCTGACACAATGAGACACTTGGCACCCGCTCGCTCCGAGCCCGGCCAAGGGGAATATATGCATTTTTAAGAACTGAATATCCTAATTTTTTACTTTTAAGGAATAGGGAAGCCTTAGCAATGCTGTAGCAACGAGGGTCACCCAAACACAGTCAATGTCTCCCACTGGAGAGTTAAAAAAGCGAAATGAAAAAATAATGGTTTTCCCTTTGCTTTTGCAATCAGTGGCCAAATATGCTGCTGCTCTTCCGGCACGAACAGCTGCCAATTCCAGAGGAGAAAATCTCTTGTAGCCAAGTAGCTCAGCTCTTACATTCTCTCCAAGAGCCTGGGAAAAAGGAAAGGCGGCCAGCCAGTCGGCTAAATAACTTTTGGAAATAAGTAGGTAATGGCCCTCCAACACACCACTGCCATGGCAAGCTTACTTTCATGCTGACGTCTTTGTTTGAAGCAGAAAATTGACACATCCATGTCAAATCCTTAGATCTCCTTTACAGAAACACTGTGAGTAGATTGTGGGTCAGATTTCCAAGTCACCAAAAGCTTTAAAGCACAAAAAGCTTCCCCAAAATTAACATGCAGCAAACTTGGATGAGCCCATCTGGCCTTAGCTAAAATGTACTGAAATACTGGGATTGGAGGTTTTTTTGGCTATTCCTGCTCCAAGGCTTCCAGTTAAACTCTCTGTGCAGCTATTTGAAAATAGAAAGAACACAATGTCAGGCAACTGGCCTGAATCCTTTTTTTATTTCAGTGTCACTCCAGTACTTCAGCAGGGAAACCAGGTAACAACCATCAGGAATGGGAAATATGTGATTGTACAGGCAACTCAGCTGTGCCTGGGTGTCCTGCTTGCCAGCATCTCCCAGGTGCTGAAGCATGCACTGATTTGCCATGGAATAACACCAATTTTTTTGGGGGAGTTTTTGTGCTGTGCTAGAGGCTCTGGCTCCTCTTGAGCTCGGTCGGTGTGGAGGTTTGGGCCAAAACAAGAGGTCCTTGGGATCCCTGCCCCATGGATAATTCCCCTTCCACCCTTACCAGCTGTTGGCAATGAGGGGAGCCAGGTCAGGGAAAGGATCTGGATGAAAATGAACCCAACCCATGGGAAGTTGATCTAAGCTTTCAGGAGAACACGGAGGTTGTAACTACCTGTGCTGTCCCTTCCCAGCCCATTGCTTAGGGGACAGCTGGGAGTCACCAGAGCCCTGCTGATGTGGGACTGTGTGCTCCAGGAGGAATGAACAGCAATGATTGCCTTCAGTGGATAAGATCCAGACTTCAGTAAGGCAGGGAAGATGCTGGGACTGGAAGATGGAGATTAACTTCATGGTGAGAGCCCACCTGCACAGTGCCTCCAGCTCAGGAGTCCCAGCACAAGGAGAACATGGAGCTGCTGGAGCCAGGCCAGAGGAAACCATGGAGATGCTGCAAGGGCTGGAGCCCCTCTGCTCTGGAGCCAGGCTGGAGAGCTGGGGGTGCTCACCTGGAGAGGAGAAGGCTCCAGGGAGAGCTTAGAGCCCCTTGCAGGGCCTGAAGGGGCTCCAGGAGAGCTGGAGAGGGGCTGGGGACAAGGGATGGAGGGACAGGACACAGGGAATGGCTCCCACTGCCAGAGGGCAGGGGTGGATGGGATATTGGGAATTAGGAATTGTTCCCTGGGAGGGTGGGCAGGCCCTGGCACAGGGTGCCCAGAGCAGCTGTGGCTGCCCCTGGATCCCTGGAAATGTTCAAGGCCAGGGTGGAATAACCCGGGATTGTGGAAAGTGTCACTGCCCATGGCAGGGGAGGAGTGAGGTGAGCTTTAAGGTCCCTTTCTATGAAAACCATTCTGTGATTCTGTGCCTGGAGAGCTGCAGCAGGGAACAGCTGGAGATGTGCGAGCAGAGTTCAGCATGTTTTTGCATGTAGGTTTTTGCATGTAAGCAGAGCTCCTTCACTCTGGAATTATTGGTTATTAATGGAGCTGCATCCTGCAGTGCTGTTTTAATATCACTGAGGAAGCACTTGGAAACATCCAACAGATCAAACCCATGTAACAAAACTCCTGCAAGGGCTCCTGAGATGGCTCCTGCCCCAGAGGCCAGCACTCCCTCTGTGGAGAAAGAGAGGGAGGGAAGGATTCCTTCCCTAAACCTCTGAATGTCCCCACACTGCAGGGTCTCCTGCATCCCAGCACTGCTCCTCACCCACAGGCACATGCAGCTTCTTTTTTCAGTCTAGAGTGAACTTTTAAGGAAAAGTATTGAGGGACAAAAAGCAACTGTCCCCCTGATTCTGCTACAAGGCCCTGACCCTGGCTGTGCCTCGAGCACCTGCTCAGGCTGACATTCACAGAGCTGAGGCTGGCAGAGCCTTGGGCACTTTCTAGCCAACTCCAAATGCCAGTTTTGTTTTCTGGAGACACCATTTTCTTGTGTTTTACACAGTCTTGCTCTCTTACTGAAAAAAAGGTCTGTGTGTGATTCAAGGTCAATCTACTGCACAAAGGACTTCGTTTCCTGTTATCAAGCCCAGACTTTCATGAGAGTAAACATCCCCTCACTGCACGTCCTGTAGAGAAACACGAGTACCATGAAGAGAATATAGCATGACATGCTTGGAAAAGAAACCAGTACCTTGTATTTGCCTCCCACATCCCCCTTCTCCCTCCGGTGTTTGCCCGAAGCCCTTCAGGGCAGGGCTGGGTGCTTTTCTTATAAACAGCCACAAACCTCCCTGAAGGATGCTAAATCATAGAACTGTGGAATGGTCTGGATGAGAAGGGACCTTAAAGCCCATCTCATCCCACCCCCTGCCATGGGGACACCTTCCACTATCCCAGGGTGCTCCAAGCCCTGTCCAACCTGGCCTTGGACACTCAAGGGATGTGAGTGCTGAATCCACTGATCACAGCCAGGGTATTTGCATTCCTTTTTCCCCCGTGTACAGCCAGCTCCCCAGCCAGGTATTCACACCATCAGCCAATGGATTCTGCCTTAGAACACTGGGTCATTGAGGCTCTGGAAATGCCAAACAGGCCTGTCTGGCACATGGACACCCAGGGTGGTGTTTCCTATGGAAAACTGTGAGCCTTCGGAATCTCAGCCTCCGCTTAAAGGAAAGATCTACATGCCAACCAGACTTAAATTAGCCTTGGAAACTGATTCTGGAAAATGTGCCAGCTCAGATGCAAATCCCTCTTACTTACCTCGTGATGACAACAAAAGCCTGGTGAAATTTTACTCATCCATTAACAGAAAAGACCTTGCCCGGTGACACACGTGGGTGGGATTCCAGCAGGGTGACATTGCTTTTGGCACAAGGGCCTTGGCCCCCAAGAATGGCAGCCCTGTGGCATGACAAACGCAGGCCACAGCCACATACCTTACCTGCTGACTCAAGGGGAAGAATGTAGAACCTACAAAAATTAAACTTCCAGCCAAAATCCCGAGATGGTAATCTCACAGAACAGCCCCTGGGGTAAAAGATTGATGATTAGAATTACACTCAGGAAAACACTGGTTGATTTCTAAACACCTTCAGAACAAGTTAGAGCCAAGACATTCCACTGGGGTCACTTCCTAATCCACTGGAGGGAAAACATGAGCACTCAGCTTGCTGGGACAGTGATTTTTGTCTCACCACCATGGATAGAAGCCCCTCAATGCCCCATTAATATCAATGGCAGAACTCTCCTGTTTTTAGCATGAACTCATATTCATTTCTCCTCCTCCTGGATCATGTTTCGTTTCTTGTCTCTGCCATTTCTCCAAAACTGAAGCAGCAGCAGCAGTGATCAGATCAGATCAGATGACTTCCTAGGTCACACACAGCCATGGAAATCCCAAAAGAATCCTCTGGTTTCAGGTGAAAACCAAATGTTGATACCTGTCCACCTGCTTCCCGCACAGCCCCAGGGGCTGTTCCTGCCAAGGACCAGATATTTAAGGATGTGGTTGAGAAGATAGGTTTTCTGTTTGACTTCAGTTTTACTTTCAGTTTGAAACCAAGAGACTGCTCTTCTTATTAAACGCTGTCTCAGAAAGCAGGAAGGATTTCCAGAAGCCTCATTCACCTGGCTGTGGCTCAGCAGGTTGGAGATATCCACACCACAGTGACTGAAGAGCCTGCGGTTGTGATAAACGAGAACAGGTTCCCCTTCTTTGCTGGCTTTCTGAAAAACCCAGGGGAGCATTCACTTTCCTCTTACAGAATATTCCTAATATTCTGGTTTTTTAAAGCAGCTTTTAATCTTAATTGCTGTTGGGATCTTTGGGTGATCAAAGGGAAGATGGCTGTGATTATTTGTATTACTCAGTGCTGCATTAGCACTGGGATCACATATTCATTTATTTTGGTTGAGGAGGTAACAGTCTCCTTTCACTGCACGCACACAATTACTGTAAGCATGCAGGGGACTTGCCAAATGATGCATGAGGGGAGGAGGAGAATCTTTGAAGAAAATTGTTCAAACATAATTTAGTTCACTAATTGGCAAGGGACCGTTACTAACGAATCGCTTCTGTTTTATGTCAGTAGTGAATCAGGTTGACGATGTGTAACATACATTAAGTCAGTTAATGAGTATTAACAAGAAATGCGACCGAAACAGAAGAAAAAGGGTTTTTCACCTTTAACTAGCCAAGCAGAATTACCAATAAAAGGATATGTGTAAGTGGTTTAGATGATTCCAATCTGCAGTGGAAAGACTTTTCTTAGAATCTGGTGGTAACCACAACTTAGTGGGGAAAAAAAAATCAGACGTTTACTGCGGCACTTCATCACCACTTGCTTTATTTCTAACGAAGCCTGAAATGAAAATGAGTAGAAGTCATTACCGTAAAATAGCTGATTAGAACCCCATGTGAACTGAGACAGTGAGTTCTGGCCCTGGCTACAAGACCAGGGCATCGTGGGGCCAGCAAAGGCCTGTGGTGACCTGGCGGTGGCTGTGTGTGCACTTTCACTGGGGGACAGGACACTTGGCATCCCCCAGTCTGCACCAGGCAGGCTGGTGTGCCCCTAACCCTTGGGAATCACATGGAGAGCAGTGAGATCACCTTGCCAGAGCAACCACAATCACAGCCATGCTTCATTCTCTGTGTGTGACCCACAGCACGACACGGCTTTGGGGGCAGTCAGGGCTGCAGGAATGTGGCCCTCAGAGCCCAGCAGTGCCAGGGCAGAGCTGTGAGGTGACAGCAGACCCACGTGCAGAGCCTGGCTCACTTGTGGATGTGCAGCCCTGAGAGCAAACACTGTTACAAAACCCCGGCAGAAGGAAAGTTTCTGGCTGGCTCTGGCATGTGAACAAACTGGCTTATTAGGCCACAGGTGCAAAACGGAGAACATGGAGTGAAAGTGAGGATAAAATGGAGAATTCTGGTGCTCTGCAGGTTTTGTGAAATAGGTATCAGGCCATGGAACCTGCCAGATACTGTGGGGGGCTCAGAGACAGGCAGGGTCTGTTTGCTGTGGGCCAAGGGGGGACAGCTGCAGGATTGGCTTTAGGATTGCAATCCAACATTCCACTGCCTGGAGAAAGAAAGGTGGCAGAACATCTCAGGGGGCTCAGTCTGGGCATTACCTCTACTGAGTCAGGCAGGTCCAGCCTGGCTTTCAACTCAGGCTTTTCAACTTTCTGGCCAAGCAGACTCAAAGAAGAAGGGAGATGCATCAATCCCATCTCCTGGCAGCTTCAGGCAAGGAAAGATCACTGTTCCAGCAGGAAGGAAGGGCCCTGATGTCTGCAACCAGTCTTGGACACTGCCACAGCAGATGACAGCTCCAGACTCTATGGATCAGACACCTGTCATGTATTGCTCCCCTTACCTGTATTTGCAGCCACCAGGTAACTTTCTTCCAGCTGGTTCTAAACTGGGTGTATTGCAACACAATTTATATCACACAGTGCTGAGCCCCGCGGCACATGGTGGGGTGCTGACTTAGAAATAAGCTGATAATACAGTCATGGCAACACTACTCACAGAGTCTGAAGAAAGACCTAAATATCCAGCACCAGCAGAAAATGTGTACAGATTAGTTTATCTCTGCACACAATAGAGATAAGACCCCTCCTCTGAAAAAAAATCTTAAGCTCCAGGAAACAGCAGAAAGAATGAAGTTAAGCACAATGTGGTGGATCATGAGACATGCTGCTTGCTGGCATTGATACCTCAGAGTTCATCTGGAAATAATGCCATTAAATCAGGGTGACAGAGTGGCAAAGGACAGTCCAGCCCCAGAGGAGGGGATTTATTCAGTGAGGGGCAGGGGACGTAAGGGAGAGAGGCAGAAAGAAGCACACAGACACTGTTCATGTGGAATGGTAAATTCACAGCTTAAGAACATCAAACAAGTGCAGCTGGTTGGCAAGGCCACGGCAGTTCTGGTGCTTGCTGTCTCTTGGCAATCCAGAGTTTTCATGAGACAACTAAACATGCAGAAATACACGTGGGATGGGGAAAAGTTAAACGTTGGTCTGTACCAGTCAGACGACAATGCAAACTCACACCTTCCAGAAGTATTGTGTGTCAGAACGAACATAACTCCCTGTTGTTCAGAGGCAGCTTCTCTGGTTCACTGACCTTCCTTTTCTTCTCGGGTCCTATTACCTCTTCCTGGCTGAAGGCAAGGTTCATGAGGTTTATCTGTAAGAACCATCAGAAATGGGGATCATTCTCACAGGGCATGCTCCTGCAACATGAGTTAAAAAGTACAGCTTCCAAAAGAGTCATGTGTGTGCCTGGATCCTCTTGGCTTTGCTCAGTGTGATCCTGTTCTCCAGAAAAGCAATTAGGCAAGGAATCAAAACTGGAGTACTGGATGGAGCTGGGAATGTAACAGTTGTGCAAGCAACAGGTTCAGCTTCAGGAACAGGGAATGGATTTGGTGGCAAGGGGACAGGACCCATCTCCCCATTAATGTCAGAAAATAGCAGGAGCAAGGAGATCCTTGAGGAATATAATAGCTCATAGGACATCTGTTTCTCCACAACCTCAGAAAATCATAACATATGGAAAAGAAGGGGCTACTTAGGTGAAATTTGTGACAGGAGAAGACACACAGTCCCTCTGTACATCAGGGAATTCAGTGTGAGCTGGTCAGTCTCAGGCTTCAAAACTACCTGTGAGTCTGTGAAAAATAACTAAGCCAAGCAAACATTTTTCCAAAAGGCTTAGCTTGCCTCTAGAAAGACACAAACCTCTCCCAGAAATACTCTGAGCCTGCAACTCAAGAGGTTAAAAAACACAGATAAATATATGTGAGAATATAAGTGAGTCAACGGAACAGACACTTCAGACAGACCACAGGGAGATGGACAGCCAGGACGACAGCTGAAGTGTTGGCTGTGCCAGGGGACAAACTCACTTATCCTCCTTATCATGTCACATATTTGCATTTCTACAATAATAATCCGGAGCTGCTGAGAGCAATGTGTGCTGTCGCCCACCCAGAAGGGACAGAGCATAGTCTGGCAATGTGGCCTCTCTCACTGGAGCTGAGCTGAGGGGACACACCACAGCACAGAGCTTCTCCAAAACAAAGTTCACTTGGATGACAGCGAGGTGAACGGAGAGGGAAAGGAGTGCTAAGAGAATTCCTGCTCCCAAACAGGAGTACCTCCCTCTAGTGTCACTGCAAGGCACCAGGAAGCCCGGAACTGCAGCAGGGGAAGCACAAGGAGTTAATGAAGAGCTCCGCACACATCCCGGGGATGAGCACAAGGTCTCCAGATTACAAGATGTGGTCATTATAGAATTCCCCGCTCGCGTCATGGGGGAGCTGGCTTTCCATCTGACCTTGGAATGAGGCTTCGGCAATCTCCGCATAGCAATGGGCTTCCTAATGTGTGAAATAGCTCTGATTAGGGATTAACAGCAAAATACTTTGAATCAGCCTCCCTTCGCCTCTCTATCGTGTTTCAATTTGTTTTTCTTCCCTCCTCTTCATTATGAGCCATACAATGTTGCCTCATGCAACATACAATTTCCTTTCCCTAAAAGCAGAGAAAACAAGAGCGTGCCAAAGTGGGCTGGGCCGGCTCTCCCTCACCCTGCACAGCCAGGCTGACAGAGCTTTCCAAGGCTGCCCAAGGTGTGTTTGCTTGAGGACAGAGCCATGTGTTACAGCTCCTCACCTGATATTCAGCTGCTCCAACTGGCATTTTTGGCAGCTATTTACTTTCTCTCCCTCACATAATTTTAACCCGTCTGCTTCCTTTTACTTTTGAAGTGAAGGGCCCAGAGGAGGAAACCCTGCATCCAAACCTCTGCAGTGCTAACACAGCTGCAGGGTTTGTACCCTGTCCTGCTGGCCACACAACAAAGCAGAGACACAATTCCCAGTCTCCCAGCCCCATCACCTGGATGAGGCAGCTCTCCTTCTGTTTTAGCCTAAACCTAGCTAGAGCTGTGCTTTAATTTCCTCTACTGAGGAATAGATCTTCCACAGCCCAGAAAGCTACTCAGTGAAGGTTTTACCCCTTTGCTATTCCTCCAGAATTTCCTGCATGGATGGGATACTTGTAAGGTGGAGAAATAGCCACGATGAGCAGCTGCTTGCACTCCAGCTCCCCCAGTTCTCCTGCCCTTTACCACAGGCAGCACGAGCACCTCACAGGAACCTGAGATGAGGAGTGAAAACATCCAAGGAAGCCATGGAGGGCTCTAGAGAAGCACTATTCACCCATTCAGTGAATCAGATGTCAACAGTGAGAGGTATTTCACTGCAGCCAACGTGTCCTGGCCTGTCCCTGCCCAAGCTCACGTAGGAGCTCGGAGCCAGGAACAGACCCCAAGTCCAACTTCAGCTCCCATCCTTAACCAAACACTCCAGCTTCTTCCCCAGAAACGCTGCTCTAAAGGGGATTAAGTCAGATCCAACATGTGCTTATTTGACTTGAAGCAGAAAGTAAACCTCTTCAACGGTGTGGTGAGAAGCAGGAAATCCCTCCCATTGATTAAACATACAAACAAAGCCTCCAGAAGTTAATTAATTCTAATTTTTCCCATGTACTGGGATGCTTCACTTGAATAACTGATGTCAGAGCTTGGGCTGTGAGAATGTTGCATTTCCTCATACACAACCTCAGCCCCATGAATGAGCCAGGAGCTGTAAAAGCAGGTAGGACAAGGTTCAGCCCCTTGCACCAACATCCCAAAAGGGACCATGCTGACAGGTGGGACAAGCCCAGAGCAGGCAGCAAAGGCAGCAGCAGCTCCAAGACCTCCTGACTCTGAGTCCAAGGCAGAGTTTAGGGTCTGGGTCATATCATGAACACACAGTGAGTGTGAACCTCCTGTTTTACTACATGTAAAAAAGCAGTATTTTGCCACAGGAGTTTTCCAATAGAACTGCAGCTAACTTGTGAATCATACAAGTGTTACTAATTTTTGGCAAAAAAACTCACAGGACAGCTGCGAGTTGTCTGGAGAAGATATCAGGCTAAAAATAGATTAGACTTAGATTAAAGCCTTCCCAAGGCAGACTGGTGGACAAAACAGAGTGAGCAGACCACAGCCACACTGCTATTCTTAGATAGACACAATCAGGACCCAGTTTTGTGCTCTGCAATTTGCAATCCCCAGTGCCCCCACATACTCTGGCAAAAAATTCCCAGCACAAATTGAAGAAAATTTACAGCTCTCCTGACATGTGCTTTGCTTCCCAAGGCATCCTATGCAGAACAGCTAAAATTGCACAAGAGCATTCAGCTGTGTCCCTCTTTGTCCCTGGCCTGCCCCATGCTGGGGTTTGGCACTTGGCAGATTTTATGTCCTCAGAAGAGTTCCCTTTGTCCAGGACATGGAGGGTTTTGTTTGGTACCTTGTAACTATCCCCACAAATTCACAAGAACATGAATGTCAAAAGAAGTGCAGTTCCATCGAGCAAGCTGGAAGAATAAGGGCTGAGATACAAGACTGAGCTGCTGAAATAGGGCAGAGTGACCCTCAGGTGTCAGGACAACACAGTTTGTGCAGAGGACTCTCGTCATCAGGGATGTTAATCAGAGTGACCCGAGGCATCCTGTGATTTCAGCTGATTTTTACCACTGACTCAACAGCACAGCAAACTCTTGTCACTTCGAAGAAATCAACCTGGTGACTCTTCAGACTGGTCCCCTAAGACCTAATTCCTGCCTGCTCCCTGACAGCTGGCTGCTCCGTAGCACAGCAAATCCCAGGGTCACAGGACACATCATGGTGGCGGTGGAAGGACGAGGGGAGATGGACACCAACTGAAAGCACAGAATCACAGATTCCCAGAACAGTTTGTGTTGGAAGGGATCTTAGAGCTCATCTCATTCCACTCCCCTGCCATGAGCAGGGACACTTTCTACCAGCCCAGGTTGCTCCACGCCCCATCTAACCTGGCCTTGAGCAGTTCCAGGGAAATACAAGAAATCCATTTAAACATAAGAACATTTTTTAATTTTTTTACTGTGAGGGCAACCAAGTAGTGGTGAAAGTCAGCCAGGGAGGTTGTAGAGCCTCCTTCCTTGCAGATATTCACCACCTGAGAGGACAAGGTCCTGAGGAATGCTCTCCCTTTCCCTGTGTTCTGAGCAGGTTTGTTGGCCCTGCTGATCCCCAGCTGGCCGTGCTGACCCTGGTGACTGTGCAGGGGTGGCTAAAGCCCAGCACTGGCTCCCATCAGTTTCCAGTGCCATGGCCACACTGACAACAGTGGAATCCCTCCTGATTTCCATCTGTACAGGAGGATCACGCTGGTTACTGTGAAAGCCAACTTACACAGGTGGACCAATGAGAGACCCCCAGTGTGGTGCTGCTGTGGAAAGCTGCCACGTTTTTGTGCCCAGGAAACCACGTCAACACATCACTGACTATCACCAGTCCTCTTCCTTTTCCTCAGCTCTTGATAAAACCTTTGTCATTCAGTCAACTCTTTCATCTCACGCCCCATTCTGCACCTTGTGTATCTTGTTGCTTTTAAAGGATTAATGAACAGATCTTTCCAGAGTACAAAAAACAATGCTTCAAAAATTTCTGTTAGAAGACAAAATTACCAATACCTCTCTTGCTAATCTCCTCCAGGGCCCTCAATCACACTGTCCACTTCTGTGATGGACATTCTCATTGCTGGATCACAATCACTTCCCAGAATCCTGATTCCAACTCTGTAACTGAGGGGAGAAAGACAATGGCCACTCTTTCTGCCTATGAGGCTGCTACCCAGCAGCCCCTCATGGGACATTAGATGTGTCCAACATTAATGTATGTGGGTTTCTCCAGAGGGTCTGGCTGCTAGAATGCACGGCATGAACACATGGAATGGCAGCCAGCACGGAAGCGCCACATCTTCCTGCAGATGTCCCTGTGGGAGCTGCCAGGGAATCTGAGGGTGCAAGGGTTAAATCTCCCTGGATCTGTGGGGTGACAGGCCTCACCTCTGCATGCAGAGATCACTAGGAAACTGTTTCCTGCACACTAGACAGGGATAACTCATGGAAGGGATGAATGGCCCCAAGATACAGCTAAGGATCTGACATGAACTGAGAGAAGCCAGGAATTTCCTGACCTCCCTGTCTCACTCCTTCCAACATGGCCTGAGCTCACAGGAAGGAGAGGCGAGCTCATCTCTGAATCTTTTTCTCTTCATTGCTTGGGTCTGTGTAGCTTCAGCTGGTTTGGAGGAGAAAATGTTCTGGGAACTTCTCATCAGATACACTCTCTTGATAGACGGACAGAGATAAACCTTGGTGCTTTTTTCTCCTCTGTGAAAGTTCAAGATAATGACATTGCCACAAAAAAATGTTTTCCTATTGCTCTACACATGGCAGGTTTCATCCTTCAACTGCCTTCTGTCATGGCACTTCTGAACGTAGTTTGCCTGGGAAAAATCAGACAACAAAGGTCTTGATCTCCAAGCTGTTGTTCTGCAGTTGAACACACTTGTGCTGACCTTCACTGCCAGAAAGAAGCCGTGCACAAGACTGCAGCTCAGCAGGGCACAGGAGCTCTGGAATGGTTTGGGCTGGAAGAGATCTTAAAGCTCATCTCACTCCACCCCCTGCCATGGGCAGGAACAATTTCCACTGTCCCAGGCTGCCCCAATCAACCCGGCCTTGGGCACTGCCAGGTATCCAGGGGCAGCCACAGCTGCTCTGGGCACCCTGTGCCAGGGCCTCCCCAGCCTCACAGGGAGAAATTTCTCTCCAGTATCCCATCTAGTCCTCTGCAGTGGTAAGCTATTGCCCCTTGTCCTGTCCCTCCAGGCCCTTACTCCAAGTGCCTCTCCAGCTCTCTTGGAGTCCCAATGGGCACTGGAAGGGGCTCTGAGGTCTCTATCAGGGTAACTGACACTGATCCCTGGCACACTAGGCAGGTATTACTGCATCATGCATGAAAGTCTGTGTCCACACAGTCCCTCGGCCATGTGCTGTTTCTCCAGGTATCCAAGTCTTCTGCACAAGGAGCAGCAGCTGGAGGCCAGACAGCCTGTCCTCTGAGGCCTAAAGCAGCCCTGATTCACAACACTTAGGTATGAACCTCTCCCCAGACATCTCAGTTGCAGACAGCTCCCATCAGGAGAGCTGATCCACATGGCAGGAGCCTGCCTACAGCAGGCAGTGAATCCCAGAGCAGAACCCCTGAGCCATCACTGGTCCCACTGGGATGCCCACACAATGCCAAGTGTCAACACGCTCCCTCATGTCCCACAGCAGTCTACAAGCAGGGCCAGCCCAGCAGCAGGAGCAGTGTCTGGCAGCAGCTGATGAAGCCAGAAACTTGGGAGGCAGAGCTGCCTGGTGCTGTGCTGATCCAGCCACTCCATTCCCAGCTCAGGGCGAGCCAGGGCTCCCTGCACGGCTGCCTCGCTGTGCACTGAGCCTGTGCTCCAAGGACCACCCCAGAACTTCAGCCCACAGCTTCCTGATGGGAGATAAATGCCTGCAGAGGCGTTCACATGGTCAGATTTTACTCATCTTCTAGTTCTGTTTCATTCCAAACTCATTCCACTGCAACGTGTTTGCTTACATGAAGACAAAGCTGACCAAAATCAATTTTCAGGACAAGGATGTTGAAGGATAGAAGAGTTTTCTGAAGAACTCAGAAGTTACCCCAAGTTAAGTGCAGGATCTCATTCTCATCAACAAATTTCTAGAAGTTATACTAATGGGCAGCAATTTTCTATTTCCCCCAACTCTTCACAGCTCCTAAAATGCCAGTGGAAAGAAGGAAGATGCACAAAGATAGCACAGGAGGACAAACCCTTGGCTGATGCAATCAGAAGGCTCCTGAAGCCAGGACAGGTGAGCTAATTTACATGCTGGTGCCTAACTCTGGATGATTAAGTGCAGAGATGCTCTGCTGGGAAAGGGCAATCTCTCATTTGATCAAAAGGATCATCAATCATGAGATGGCAGATAAGAAGCCAGTGGAGTACATGAATATTTTCCCCCAGTCTGCAAAGCCCTCTGGCAGAGACTCTCTGTGACCACTCCTAAAGGCCAGCTCCAGTTCTCACTGGGCAGGAAGAGCTGCTTCTCTTTTGGCAGATCCACGTCCTTTCGCCTCTCCCATGTCCATTAGACAAAAATAAGCCTCTAATGCTTTCATTCCTGGTTTTCCTGAAGAGCTCTAGGTCAGCAAGATAATAACCAATAAACTCAATTCCAGTTTTTATTTTTGGTAACCAAGCCATCAGAACGATTCACTCCAGCTGAAGAGCAGAAAATGTGCTCGCCCACATTTGCAAAAGCAACTTGTGACTGTGGGTAACGGTTTCGAACTCACAACTTCTTGCATATCAAATCCTTGTGCAGACAGCAATTTTCTGTGACACTCCAAATTGTTCTGGTTAGTTTGGAAGATTTTGGCATTCCCACCCCAACCCAAGAGCTGGAAAACACTACAAATAGTGTCTGGATGGCAACAAGGTGTTCACATTCACAGCTCACCAGGTCTGCTCCTCCCCATCTCACCTACACCTGACCCTATCAGACAACACCTAACTCAGGCTCCTACCCCAGCTTCTCCTCATTTCTTAGGACAAACTTCACCCACCAGCTTGGCTTTCTGATTCACATGGAATTCACAATGGTCATTTGTTTTAACCACTTCCTTCAGAAAAGAAGGGAAAGTCCCTCTCATATGGAAAAAAGTGTCAAATTTTTATTAGTACAGGCTTTACAGTGATGATTCTAACTACTGGCTTGACTTTGTTTTTCCCTAAACTGGGTGAAATATTAGCCAGTTTCTATGGTTTTAAAAATAGCATCAAAGAATACATTAAGTAAAGAATCTCCCAGGGCTTGGGATTTTTTTTTAAGTCTTTGGAAGCACATGATGGATAAAGTGATTATTCCATTTTTCAGCAACTAACGCCGTTTCCACCACCTTCAGACACTCTCACTCCTGCTACCGAATTCTAATGAAATGCACATGCTGAGAGAGGTGTCTGGTGCTGTGCTGGCCGTGGTGACAGCCCCAAAAGAAGGTCAGAGCATGAATCAGTGGGGCAACCATGAGCTGCAAACAAAAAAGGCTCCTGTTCTCATAGAATAAACAATGATCAGAAGGAAAGCGGAGGATGTGACACGAAAAAAAAATGTGGTTAAACTTTGAAAAATACCAGCCTAGGCACACAAGTTCACTCCTAAGATCCAGAGTCAAGGCAAATACCTCGCAGATGCCTTTACAATGACAGGGTGAGTTGCAGTCTGCAGTTGCTGTCTGGTTTAGAGATCCCGGGATTCCTTTCAACAGAGGCAGGGAAAATTTTAGTGGCAATTTCCTACTCTCATTAACTTATCCTGACCATTCAAGCTCACATGATTCTCAGCTAATTTGAATGTGAGGAGAATGGAGTGGCAGTATTCAGAGATTTGCCATGTCACTGAACAAACCTCTGCTCATGCCCATGAGTTTGGGCTCTGATGGTGACTCAGGGTTTGGCTGGCCAGCCTTCAGGGTGGGATTAATTTTTTACTTATCTAAAACAACCTACCTGGTCTATCCTAATTCTTTGTGTTGCCCCAACAACCATCAAAAAAGAGATCAGTACCTCCAGGGGATAATTCTTTCTACCCCGGAGGGGGAACCAAAAAGGGAGAGGATTCATTAGGTACCTGTGACTCACATGTAAAGAAAGTCTGGGAGCAAGAGGGGAGAGGTGAAGACCATATTAGGCAAAAAATACATCCTTCAAACCTAAAATAGGGTAGTGATTTCAGACCCTTAATCCAAAACCACCCACAGGTAAACAAGCCTGGCTGGGACAGAGATAGGCTCTGTGTGTGTTACTCAGAGGTACCAACTCCAGAAAACAGAACCAAATTCTGGTACTGGGCAGAGGAAATAAAGTGATTGTGGAAAGCTTCTTCCCAAAGCTTCCAGTTCATGTTTACATGCCTCTGCTACTCTGTAGCCTCTATGCATTGTGATCCTGCAGAGTAAATCCACTAATGTTAGTGAATTTTGTGTTGTCTTTGATGATGCAACGACCCATGGCAGTGAATTCCCCTGTGCCTGGAGTATCTCAGAACCACTAACGCTTCCTTACCTCCTGACACGCCCTTGAGTAAGGCATCCTCTCTGTCTCCTTGATTCCTCTCTTCTTCTTGCTACCTGCAACTCAAACAGCAAAGCAAAACTAGCTATAAAGTGCTTAATTAAAAAAAAAAAATCTGGAAGCTTGACTAAAGCACTGAGACAGAAATCCCATGAAATTGTGTAAGCTTGGCTCTCAGACACTGCCAGCAGTGGCAGTTTATTCCTAGAAAGAGAGATTTCAGCATGAAGTGTCATCTGAACATCTGCTTGCAGCAGCTCTATCAATTATAATCTCTCTTTTAACCTGGATCTAAGAAAACAAAACTTATGTCTAGACATGCCCAAAGTGTGAGGTGTGCGGGAAAGGAGGGGACATCTCCCCTGGTTAATATTTATTAACCTTTCAGACAGTTTCAATAAAATTTGAGGGGGTGTCCAAAGTGCCTCAGTGTCATGAGATGAGGCAACTATTTAGAGTAGGAGGATCCTGTAAAAATCCCCAGAGCAACAAAAATGGCAGGATGAGTTAATTCTTTCTTAGTCATCGGGGAATCTGCAGGAGAAAGACCTGCAAAGGTGATTTCACAGGCAGGGAAGCTGCTTTATCCTACTGCCTGGCAATCCCAGGAATGCTATTTACCATTTTGTCACTAGATGGTATTGTTCCACAGGCTATATCCCAGAGCCTCGAAGGTCAAACAGCATGGTATAGCACAGGCTGGGTTGATTAAAGGCACAGAAAAGGCTTTTTTTCTCATGTATTTTCATGCATGTTTTCCCACATGGAAGTTATTAGCAAAAGTCAAACTGTAACAGCTAAAGGAAAAGAGCTTTGTTGAACATGGAGATAATGTAACTCAGTTTTGATGATCTGGGCATTTCCTCCATATCTCAAAAAAACCCTGCTGAGATAAAGAGTTGCAAAGATACTGATACAAAATCAAATGTTTCTGTTAACAAACCAATCATAATCAACGAGCCCTTTGTTACAGTTCAGTCTGACCTGACACAAAATTCAAACAGCCTGACAAACTCTGCTCATCCAAAAGCTAAATATTAGAGAATCACAGAATCATGGAATGGGTTGGGTGGGAAGGGATCTTAAAACCAATCCAGTTCCACCCTTGCCATAGGCAGGGACACTTTCCACTGTCCCAGGCTGCCCCAAGCCCCAGTGTCCAACCTGACCTTGGGCACTGCCAGGGATCCAGGGGCAGCCACAGCTGCTCTGGGCACCCTAATAACCTACTGTTATTAACAGCACTGAAAGATTTACCTTTATCTTCAAGGCAAAAAGAAGATGCTTCTGTTTTCCTACCTGGATGGGTGTCACTTTTGTCCCCTTCATGCTCATTTGAATCTGCTCTGACAGGGCAAGGGTGATTCTATAAAGCAAATGATGTTTTGTCTTAATAACATAACCTAAAAAATACACCGAGGTGGTAATTGCATAAGGAAAATGTTTCTTTTAAGGAGGTTTTTGCTAGATAAATTCTATTCTTCTGGTGAGAATCAAATAGAGCTATTTCTATACCTTTGTGCACTCCTCCTCCTCCTCATCTTCCTCACAGTCCAGCCCTTGGTGGGAGATCTCAGTAGGGCCATTCTTCTGGATCAGGGTGCTGTCAGCCTTCTTAACCCTCTTCTTCTCAGTTGTCACTCTGACTTTCATGAGGTGGAAATCAGTGGAGACTGAGCCCACTTTCAGGTTGATGGGATCCCCAGCAAACAAGAGGTCACCAGGGCAGCCATCTTCCTTGAAGCCAGGGGGCTGGTAATCCTTGGGAGTGACTGCACAGAGAGAGGGAACCCCCTGAGGTCAGGGAAACCAAACTCCATCTCTCCTCAGTCTGATTTAGAAAGAGCAGTTATGAACCAGCTTTGAGTACCATCAGCTACTAAAAATATTCCAGGCTTTTTTTTTTCTTTTCTTTTTTTTTTTTTTTTTAAGGAGGAAGGGACAGAATGCAATGGGTAAAATGGGCTGAGCAAATGTTATCAGGGAGCTGAAAGAAAAAAATACTTTAGGATGCTGAGATACCATTAAAGTGCTGGAGCAAAACCTGACATTGCTTGTTCCTTAAGGAAACAAACTAAAAAAAAACCCTCAAAAACCCAGAGAAGAAGGATTTTCCCCTTTCACATCATGTAGCTGCTCTTCTTATATGGATTTCAAACCTTTCCTAAAAACACCTGCCATCCCTGCATCAGAAAGATTTATTGTGTTACACCATTTCTCAGTGCAATCAGCCAACAGCTTCTCCCATCTCACCTTTTCTATGCTTTATTTTATTCACAGGGCTCACACTCATTACAGAGACTGATGGAATTCCTCCCCAAGGCACACACTGCTCTTCACCTACCATGGTTGTAGTAGAGGAGTTTCATGCTCAGGGTGATGTCATTGGGCAGTGGCCCCAGGTCCTGCATGAGCAGGTACAGGGTCCTGAGCAGGAGCCTGCTGGCCTGTTTGACATCCTTGCTGCACAGCCCAGCCACAAACTCCCTGTGGTTGCTGCAATCGGAAGAAGAATAATGGATTTGTTATCCTCAGTCATGAATATTCACGATCCAATTACACACACAGAGCACCCACTGACTTGTCTGAAACCACCAGTGACAAAGCTACAATGTCTTTATGTAATTTCCAGATAAACAGGGAAGTGAAACAGGCTCCAGGGATGGGGTGGCATCCGCAGAACACCCGCTCCAAACTCAGAGGCCTGGCATTTACATTTGAACAGACTTTGGAGCTGGGGCAACCATTATACAAATGTCATGACTCACTTGTTTGAACATGATTAAATTGGATCAAAGGACCATAAAACAAGTGCCTTTCACCTAAGCAATTTCAGGAATGAGAGGAATGACTTGAGGATCCATCTACAGCCGATTCATCACAGGGGCTATTTTCAAGTCCATTCTGCAGTTTTTGAAGAGAAGTGAATTGCATGTTCTCACTCAATTCCATGTAAGAAAAAGCAGCTCAGAGGCACATTTTTCAGCAGTGACAAAGGGGCATTCCCCTCACCTCCTTCACCCATCCAAATGTCAGCTGGCTGCTCCAAGCCAGCAGTCCAGACAGAGACCCATGGGTGACATGAGTGGGATGAATGGCACTCTAGAGGAGTTTGTTTCTCTTTGATTAAAACTGAGGTAGATGAGATGAGCAACTCGGAGCAGTCAGCCAACTTCAGACAGAGCAGATGAATCACTGTGTGACTAAGGGACCTGAACTTCCCTAACTTTCAATGAGAAGGGGTCATAAAGATGTGTAGCTCCTTCATTACGTCTTTGGAAGACCCCTGACACTATGCGTAGGCTGCAGGGTGCCTAACACAATCACCCCAAATTGCATCAAAAGCAGTAAAAAAAGTAACCCAAGAATATCCCAGAGTGAAACTGACTGACTAACCCTCAGAAAGGAACAAATTAAGAGCAATTCTCCCCTCCAGCTGAACTTCTTTGGGTAATGCAAATGGGGTGGCTGTGGAATAGCTTGACTTCCCAAGGTATGGAATCACAGCATTATTTAGGTTGAAAAGACCTCTAAGATCATGAAGTCCAAATTCTGTGGAATTAGATGTGCACTGTGGTCCTTGATTAAATCCTGCATGTTCAGAAATGTACAGTGAGAGGAAAATGCTGGCAGTGCCTAAGGTGGAATATCCATTACCATTACAAACTGTGGGATTAACAGATCAGAAATGGCAAAATTAAAAGTTCATAAGAAAAAAGAAATGAGACGTCCATAGGAATTAACAGATCAGGCACTGCTTCAATATGGGAATAACACTGAGAATTTGATGCAGGAGGGAGTCAAAAAGCAGAAGATAAGGAACTGAACGGAAAATGCTGGCAGTGCCTAAGGTGGAATATCCATTACCATTACAAACTGTGGGATTAGCAGATCAGAAATTAAAAGTTCATAAGAAAAAAGAAATGAGATGTCCATAGGAATAAACAGATCAAGCACTGCTTCAATATGGGAATAACACTGAGAATTTGATGCAGGAGGGAGTCAAAAAGCAGAAGATAAGGAACTGAACCTTGGAAGGAGTGGGATCTGTGGCAAGGAATTCCTGCAAAATCCATTTAAAATAAGGCATGGACCATTTAGGAGAAAGTCTCCCCTTACCCCTTGGATGTGATGCTGCAGTCCCACAAAACCTCTCTCCCTGAGTGATTAACTCTGAGTTTGCACAGGGCAGCTGCTGCAGGTGTAAAAGGCAGTGTTATCAGCTGAAGCAGCTGATAGCAAAGGGGACACAACTCCCTGATCTGTGCCAGAACTCTGGATTACTAAAGACTGCAGGGGCACGCATGAGCCTGCCACAGCACTGCCAATCCCCACAAAAACAGGGCCCAGGAATCCAGGGCCACAGGCTCTGGAGCCTCAGAGCACATTCAAACACGACAGGAAGATGGCTTGGCCTCTCCCTGGCTGGCACAAAGGACACCCAAGCTCCATGTGGGGACTGTCCTTATTTCTAGGAATTAATGAGTAAGGCTGATTAAAACCCCAAAGTACTCAAGGACTATCCATTATCCTTCAAATCCCAGATCTCCTCTTCCTCTCAGTGTGAGGACAATGGACAGCAACTTTGAAGCAGAAATGGAGGGCAAAGGCAAAAAGTCATTCCAGAGATAATTCAGATTTGCCCAAAAGAAAATAATTTTGCCTTATGGTTAAAAATTATTTGGAGGTATTTAGAGAAAGAGCAGCTAAGGGCACACTCTAGGAGTGGTGGGAGGAGCTTCCTGAGGAACACACAAGACAGCAGAGCTCTCTTGCTGCCCAGGCAGGTTCCAAGATCCATCTTTCACCAATGCCAACTGCAGAACAAAGTAAAAACAGGTTAATTACTTTTCTTTGCTTTGGTTATAGCAAATGGCCTTTGATAGCATTTATTTGAAGCTGCACTGGATTATGGCCTACTAAACACAGCTTTAAATATCTAACAGAGAGTATCAAAAAGAGACAAAAACCTGCTACTTCCTGCCTACATGTTCTGCACCATCAGCTCAGGCACCCTAAGTGAAAGTTCTCTCAGGTCACCCACGCAGGGCTGCTCAAGCAGAACGCACGTATGCAAATGCTCAAGGGAAAAAATCCTGGGCACAGGATCATGGTGAAAGGGCTCAGACCTGAGCAAGCCTCATCTGAAAGCACAAGGCTGCCTGGTGGAAGTGCAAGAACACTTGTTGTTAGCTGAGACAGCAGCAAGCTCAACAACTGGGCTGGTTTTTGCACGGCCTCCCTGGTGAGGCACCACTTCTGTCAGCTGTCCTTGGCTTAGGTGTACTCTGAGGGCCTCGTGGTGCCCTGAAAGAGCATTTCAGCTCATCCTCCCAGCAGTTCATACCCTGTAAGGTGAATACCCTCAGCTCTGATGGTATTTACAGCTGCTTAATGGCTTGGACCTGCTCAAACCACAGAACCACAGGATGGTTTGGGTTGGAATGACCTTAAAGCTCATGTTGCTCCCCACCCTGCCATCTGCACAGACACCTTCCACTAAACCAGATTCCTCCATCCAGCCTTGCTTTGGACACTTTCAGGGATAGGGAGTCCACAACCTCTCTGGGCAATCATAAAGTGCAAATTCTTAATGCTTCAAGAGCACAGTTTTTAGTGTAACCCTGAGAAATCAACCCAAATCCTTACCTGCTGATGTCCATCTGGGGCACCTTGTTTTTGTACTTGAATTTGAATTGATACATTTCAGTGACTGTCTAGAGATGCAACAAGAGAGAGAAGCAGAAATTGATCACTTTGCGAAACAAGACGTGTCCTGAGCTTGGAGAGTCCTTTCACACTCTCTGCCAGAGCACAGAATTAATCTGACATGCTGACAATTTTAACTCTATTATTGTTTGCACAAGCTTTGGCAAATTCTCTTAGCAGCCACATCTTACCTAGCACTGAAAGAATCACAACAAAATTACAAACTTCCTGCCTCCTCCTTCCACTTCCTCTGTGGGCCTGGCTCTCCACCTTCAGTCTCTAGCAAAGCTCCAGGGCTGGCCAATCCTCCCAGTGTCCCTTGCTAAAGGAAAATTGGGAAGCTGCACGGGTGACCAGTGCCACATGAAAGCCTGGCTCCGTGCTCTGTATGGGGACAAGGGCCTGGAGGACTCTTCCCACAGGGAAATCCAAACAATATTGCATGGGAAATAGCTGAACTTCACTGGTCTCCGACTCTTTATGAGGTAGACAAAAATAGTGGATGATTTTCCATTTAAAAGAATTAAGAGAATAAAACAATTAGGAAGAGCAGACAGCTTCCCCCCAAGAGAAAGGGTCTATTGTACACCAATTCCATGCCTATAATTCACTTTTTCCGGAGACAATGAGGTCGATTAGTAGGAGCTCAGCTGAGCTCTTAACTCTGAGCTTTCCCTGCAAATCCCAACCTTGGCATGGCTCAGCTCCTGCTCTGTCCCCAGACTCCGAGGTGTCATACAGCAGAACTGGAACCAGGTTCAGATGCAAAGAGTCTGAAGCTGTTCTCTATCTCCAGCCTGGATGCAGACCCTCACTCCGGGATCACACCCCCCAGGTGAAACCAAACAGAAACACAACAGGGAACACCAGAGGGCCAGGACAGGCACTACCCAACACATCCAGGTCTGAAGGGATTCCTGACTTCTGTCCTACACCTCTCTGCATGACAAACCAGCTCTTTTCATCAGGGCTGTTAAAAAGGTGGTTTGCAAATGAGTAATGTTGAATTCCCCATTTTTTCTCTTTGGGAAAAGAAAACAAGACTGTGAACATGCCCATTAGTTGTCTGCTAACATCCCTGCCTGAGGCCCTGGTGGGCCCTCAGCCGGGTGTTTGATCACAGCGCAGCTCACTGAGCTGGCACTCTGGACTGAAGGCACAGGAACAGAAATGGGTCACCAAGGAGCTATGTCAGGGTAGGACTTAAGCCTCCACTCCACTCTGAATACAAATGTACTCACCCATGCCTTCAGCTGCCTCAAAGATTAATTAAGACTCTTTCTTACCTCGGGATTGGTGTAAATCTGTTACAAGAAAGCACAGTGAGGACATTCTTGGGACAACTTGAACCAGTGACTAACAAGGATTTTTCAGTTTACAGCAGAGACTGTGCTATCTTTAGTGTGGGATCAGAGAAAGGAATGGCTGGGAAAGAGCCTTCCTCTATCTGCAGTCAATGCTTACCACTTCAAAGACAGGTAGAAGACACTCATGTGTGCAATACTGGAGGAATGAGGTTAATTCCCATTCCAGCCCTCACAGGCAGCTATTCATGCCTGGGATTTAACTGCTCAGATGATGCACAGAGTAGATGGTGAGCAAAGCTCCTGGTGCTTTGCAGGGGGCTGGGGCCAACACTGCCTATGGAACCACCCGCGTGTGGTTTCTCCAGGATCAGATTAATGAGGAGGACCCTTCTGCACGGGGAAATGGAGAGGACACGGCAGCTGCCATGATAGGAATCACTCTCAGAGTTTAAAGAGACACATAAGGTCCTCAGTCAGAAGTCTGACATGCTGAGAAAAACATTCCCGTGCAGCCTTGAACTCTACATTTACTGTATCTAAGAAAGGTCACAGCTCTATTAAAAATCACACACATTTTGGCTTCTCCTTAAAAAAGGCACAAATGGATTGACACAACCTTGACTCTGTATTTCTTTCAAGCAGGGGAGGAGAGAAAAAACATTTTGTATTCATTTACTTACTGCAAGGACAGCCACGTGTAGCTAAAAGAGAAAACCAAAACAAAACACAAAATCAACATCTAACCTTTGTGGGCAAGGAAAACCAAGTCCTATCAAACCCCGACTGCCTACACAGGGAGAAGGAATAGATACACTCAACAAACCAGGAGTTAAAACCCTTTTTGCATATTCTTCCCAGCACAGCATCAGCAACACCTAGTGGCCAGTTTGCCTGGCTTGACAGAGTTTCCCAAAAACAACTCCATGCTCAGTAATCCCCCTTGGGACTCCTTCAAACAAATCCCCAAATACTGGTTTAAAACTCTTCACAAGACCACCCATCCCTACTGAAGGTTAATATTTGCTTTCTGCTAGGAAATTCCCCAAAGGTATTTAATTTATGCTCTATCGAGGAATTGCACATGGGACTGCCCTTAAAAACAATCTTATAACATGCATTAAATCCCTCTGTTTTTCCTTAATCCTTGTCAGACAATTAATCTATGTCTCTCATAAATAAAAAAGAGCTAAATAACTCCTGGAGCTGTCAGCAAGCACTAAACTGTGCTCACAACACCGTTAATTGTGCACACTGACAGTTGTACTGATGTCTGAGGAACACTCAGATCGTCAGTGTCAGAACCACCAGTGCTCCACCTGGTCTGGAGGGGCTGGGCTGGTGAACAGTGCTGACACAGGGCACAGCAACCGGTGCTTTTTCCTGTGCAGGGCAGTGTTTATGTGAGAATCAGCAAGGAATATGAGCACTTGCTAGCTGGTTTTGTCCTGGAAACAGTTACATACCTTATGTGGTGAATTAAGGGGGAAAAAAAGGGATAAATTCTGAGCCTGAGAGAAAAGCCAGAAGGGTTAGAGAACATGAGATAAAAGGGAAAGATTAGGGAAAAGGAGATGAAGGAAGCAGAAGCACAGAACCTCTCTCAAGAAAACAAAAACAGGCAGGAGATCCAGATCTCAGCTCTGCCTGGCAGGATGTCCATCAGATGTAAGAGAAAACACAAATGCAGAGCACAGAATTAAGGAAAATCCATTGCAGGCTGCAAATTAGTTCCCACACCATGGACAGGAGAGCCCAGAGAAACTGGACAGGATTTGAGCTCAAGGCATAAAATCCCAAATCTCATAATCAGGGCAGGGTCTTTCCCCTGTCCCACAGCTGTAAAGGTGGTTGTGGGCATCAAAGATCCCAACAGAAACACAGCAGGAATGGAAGGATAGTTTTGTCCTTACTTTATGAAGAAATAGGACACTAATAAAAAGTGAAAAAAACACTTACATACTGCTTCTCCAAAGCATCAAAACAACCTTGAATCCTGCCAGGGAAATAAAACCAAAACACGTTAATACTAACCAGCAATATTTATCTTCTGATCTGTAAACATACTCATTAGATGTGAGTTAAAGGGCATTTTTTCTGGCATTAGGTCAACACAGCCAAGAACATTTGGGACTCATGAAGTCCTTTTCAGGTCAGTCCCGAAGGCAGCATTCTCCTTTCTGCATCTGTGCTCTGTTTATACCTCTGGGGCATTATCCTGTCAGCCCAGACCCTGCTTCAATCCTGACAAAGACAAGGATTGGAGACCAAAGGCTGGCTCTGAGTGTGTCCCTGCTCAGTGCTCTGTTCCAGCTCCCCAGCCAGAGCTTTGATGGCTCTTTTCCCATCAGCCTTGTACAGAGCTCAGCTCAATCTGAACATGTCTGGTCTTGTAAATCTTTGTTATCTGATGCAGAGTTTGCAGCAATGGATTTTCTCAAAGTAGTAAATATTATTTGAAGCATCAATGGCCAGATATTTACTCTTGGAGTCAAAGGATGTGCACCAAGGTATCTCCCTAGCACATCAGGGACAGTTTTTCTGCTTGTTGGGAACACGCCAACTGTGAAATCCATCCTGAAGCAAACTGTGGGGTTCTTAGAGAGGGAGATAAAATATAGTACATACTGAAAAACAAGTGCAAGAATTCCTATCAAAGTGAAACTAGAAAAAACTAAACACAGCATAAAGGATCTCATGACAGTCTTTACGCTCTCTTTGCACCTCCGTTGCCACATGTGCTCTGGGGCCTGACCATGACCTCACTGCAGCCAGCACTTCCACAGACCTTGAACTCACATGATCTCTGTCACTAATTCTGTCCTGCTTCCACAGGGGCCAAGCACCCCCAGCTGCAGTGGGAGCTCCCCTGGCACCAGGGCATCATGTTTTGCAGTTCAGGAAGAAGAAGAATGCAGGAGCAGATGTCTCCTACTCAGCAAAATTTTGTCTTGGTTTCGCTGTTACTCACTTACCACTTGACTATCTGCAATGATCCCAGACAGCTTTTATCTTCTCGGAGAATTTTTAGACAGAGGTCTGCAAAACCAGATTTAGCACATAGTTACAATCCTTATCACAATTCTTGGGCAAACACTGAAACTAAGCCAGTCCATCCTCCCTTTTTTGGACAAAAGCTTTATCTGAATGTCCTTCCTGAGCGGAAATGTTGGGTTTCCACCAAGTCCCAGGTGGGCTGACACAAGCTTATTGCTGGGTTTGCAAATGTCAGAGCTTTCCTCAGAAGGCCTGGGCTCTCTCAGACAAAGGGATGGAGTTACAGCTTTATTACAGAACACCAGCAGCTTCCTCCTCTCCTCCCTCCTTTTCTCCACTCCATCCTCAACCATTCCCTAACACCTTCCCTTCTGCATTAAGACCTCACTAATATCCATGTGATGTCCCAACAACTGTGCTTAAAATAAACTTTCTGTGAAGCTTTTCCACACAGCTCCTTCAACCTGTGCTTCCAGGCACTCAGAATGGCAGGTGTCCCACAGGCAGTAATAACACCTTAGGATTCAACCAAGGGATCCTTGAAGATGTGAGCAGCCCAGATGTTAACACCCCTCACCAAAGAGGCACTAGACAGACCTGACATTTGACCAGTGGCTTTTTAGGGTTAGGGTATCAAGAACCAATTTGGGATTTCTGTGCCTTCAACCAAATCTACAAAGTACATGTGAACATGTTTCAGGGTAACTAATGCCACAAGGGACAACACAGAAAAGGACTGGAATGCAGGGAGACATTTCACACTTTGAATGATCATAAAGATGTTCATGAATGAAAGCATCACTAATTCTTGGGATTATGTGACATGGATTTGGTTCTGAAAGCTCTTTTTTTTTTCCTTAAAAAGTTCTGATTCCCAAAGCACATATGAGATAGCTTTCATAGAAATAAACCCCAAATCCCAACAATGAAACTGTTTTACACTGAAGGAGGGATGATTTAGATTAGATGTGACTCAGGTTTTTATAATGAGGGTGGTAAAACACCGGCACAGGTTGCCCACAGAGAAGGTGGATGCTCCATTCCTGGAAATATTCAAGGTCAGGTTGGATGGGGCTTGGAGCAACCTCTTCTACTGGAAGGTGTCCCTGCCCATGGCAGAGGGTTGGACTTCATGGTTTTTAAAAGGTCCCATCCAACCCAAACCATTCCACAATTCTATGAAAATGGACAAATCTAATTTCAGCCTCCCAATAAAAACTAAAAACCTCATGGGTTCAAAGATCCAAAAGAAAATAAAACATTCTAATAAGAGTAAATTTTTAAAACTTTCTGTGTTTTAAGTGACTCTCCTGGCTCTGAGACCTGATTAATGGGGCTGGCAATGCCAAGGAATTACTCTAAACCAAGAGGAACACCAACAGAGAAGCCAGGAGCTCAAGGCTGTCTTCCATGCCCTCTATCAGAAATTCTGTCTGCACCCAGACTCGAGAAGATTTGAGAATTTGTAGCCAACCCCCACCCGAAGTGAAGTCACACACATGTGCAGCCAGAAGATAACACGTAAGGCAGATTATATGCAAAATGCAGATCACAGGTAAAATGGAGTGAGCAGGAAGGAGCCCTCAGCACAAACTGCAGGTGTTACCATCCAGATAGCGAGTGCCATAGGAGCTCTCTGGGAACAGCCCCCTCATGTAGGTTATGCAGGACACAGAGATGGCCAGGAGCCTTTTCACCAGCACCAGGGACTGCTGCTCCGTGGTGATGCTCTCAGGGAACAGCACTGCTTCCTGGAAAAGCAGGGCCAGAAATAGCACCTTCTTAAGTGTAACACAGATTATATTTAGAAACAAGTTTCAGCAGGTGGGAAGAGGGTAACTTAGGAATATAAAATGAAATTTGAAGGTTTCTCTGGTGTTTAAGCTAGGCAGGGAAGACTCGAGTGTGAGGTGGGTGGATTAAATGATTTAAGGGCAGAGATCAATAGATCTGACATCATTACCCAGATGCAGAGTGCACTGGTAGGATGTGCCTTCCCCTTTATCACATTCCCACCCCCTCCACAGCACCAATGCTGGCACTCAGCAGACAGCCTCCCCTAAAAAAAGGTGTGCAGTTTTAATTGTGGAGTCACACAAGCCCAGGCCTGGTGTGGCAACCACTGCTGTACCAAAGGTTGCTCTTTTGAGCTCTGCCAGCAGCCTGAGTTGCCAACAGAGTGATTTTAACTCCAAGCAGTAAAACAGCACCTGGAGCTACAGTAAATACACACTGTGTGATGCCAACACGAACAATGCAGTGGACACTGCACTAAATTTAGTTCTTCTATTACTTTACTGCTGCTCTTCCTGCTAATAAAGCTCTGTGCACACCTAATGAGCCTACATTTATTGAGTCAAATCATGCCAGAGCCCCACACTGCCTCTCACTGAATTAGAATTAATCCAACTAAGAACAGTGCAGACAACAGAAAGGCTTTCCCCTCCACAGGCACAGGGTGCTAGATCCCAACTGAGAGCTAAGATGGTCTGCACCACCACATTTTAATTTTTTACCTTAGGGGGCTTTTTCTTTTGCTTGAGTAGCTGCTGAGCAGCCATCCTGTGTTTCAAAGACCTGCCTTCCACCTGTAACTAAACCCTGAAAAATAAAGAAGGCATGAGACACGTAGAAAACACAGTTACTGCTATTTCTCATCTATATTAAAGTAAGAATGAAATTCCTCAGAATTTGAAAGCTAATTGCCAGGAAGGACAAGGTAAAGCAAAGCAAACCAAGGGTGCCCCATGGCACTGAGCCTGCAGAGCATGAAACCTGCTCACTGGTAAACAATCAATAGTATTTGAAATTCAGGGCCACAACTGCACCTGGTGTCAGTTGGTGCCACTTCAGAATGCATTTCTCATATTCCAAACCACAAATGTTAATTCCTACAACCATTGGAAAGTGTGAAGGGGGAATGTGAAAGAACTGGAGGTCTGCCAATAGCAGTTAATATCTTAGCAAGGGTAAGCAGGAAACGTGCTAACATCGGTCTTGGCCAGAATAAGGGAATGATTCTTCTGGGATACCTTGAAAGGTACAAAAAAAAAAAAAAAAAAAAAAAAAAAAAGGAAGAAAAAAGGAGAGTCCCAATCGTTTCAGTTAGACAAGCCTGGATTGAAAAGGAAAATACACATTTTACCAGAATGGAGAGCTGATTGATACAGGCAATAACACTGGATATTCCATGTTTCACTTGAGTGAGGTGCTTGATTTAGCACCATCTGACAATCCTGATTAAAAACTTCCATTAGCTGGAATTAACAAGGCCTGCGTTAACTGGTTTGAAAAATGACTTGCTGGGAGATCTCCACATCTCGTTGGAAATGGGGGATGTTAATGAAAGGAAACACCACAAACAGGTCCCAGAGGGATGCTGCCGTGTCCACAGCCGCTCGACTTCCCCAGTAACAAATAAAGTAATGGCACAAACACGGGGAGCTGATTTAACTCCTGACCTAATGCAGCCTTTTATTAACTCAGCTGATCAAACCTTGTTCTGCATTTGCACCTTTTGTGCTTCTTTTTTTTTTCCTGTGGAAGCCTCATTTCCATTTGTTGGCAGTCATTAAGACATGTAGATCGAACACGGTGACAGCTTTTATGCTAAATTTAGCGCTTCATTTAGTAATGAGGACAGATTACAGCTATAAAAGTATATTTAAACAAATACACACCTGCAAAATTTTTAACGTGTTAAATATTTTAGCAAAGTAGCTTTTTTTTTTTTTACCCAGGCACTCTGAGCAGGACTGGAATGCAATCAAAGCAGACAAAGGTGTTGTAATTACAACGTGAGGTTATTAACTAAATAAAGCTGATTTAGGTGAGGCAAAGATGTAAGAAAACATGTTTTATAAACCATACAACATTTATATTGATTTTCTGAGGAGGAAACATCACCCAGACCAAGCTGACCCATTACTATTCAGGTAAAAGGTACAAGATTTTGGCATCAGTGTCTCACCAGGGCTGGAAGGACAGAAGTTGCCTGGAACTCCAACACTCCCCCACTCTGCAGCCACCTTATCACTGAATATCAGCAAATTAATACTGAAAGGAAAAAGACACCCTCAGGAACCCGCTGCTCCCCAGCACCCTCAACCCTGCCCTCCTCACTCTGCTCCTTGTGCCTGATGTTGGAAAGGTGAGGCACCACAGCCTTTAAAAAACACCCATGAGTCCAAAGATGTGTTTTACTCATTTTTTGGAGAGTTTCCTGAGGGATTTTATGAGCGGAAGCCCAGGCCCGGCCGGGGTGCACACGGGGCCGGGTGCTGCCCCTCACACAGCTGCACCGGGAGGAAGCCCTGAGGCCGAGGGGGCGGCGGGGCTGAGGCGCGGGAGCCCCGAGGGAGCCCCGAGGGAGCCCCGAGGGAGCCCTGAGGCGCGGGGGAAGCCCCAGAAGCGGAGAGGAGCTCCCGTGGGGAGCAGGAGCGGCTCCCCGAGGTGCCTGGGGTCCCTGAGGTGCGCGGAGCTCCCCTGAGGCGCTGGGAAGCGCTGTGAGGCGCGGGCGCACCTCATGAGGCCCTGAGGGGTCCCTCAGCTCCGGGCACCCTGAGGAGCCCCTGAAGGACAGTGAGGGGGTTTTTTTGGGGCACGGGAGACCCTAGGGGGCTGAGGGCACCCGGAGAGCACGGCCTCGGCCCGCCCCAGTCCGCCGGGGCGGTTCCCCTACCTGCACCGCCCAGCCCGGCTCCGCGGGCTCCTTTGGCCGCCGGACCCCCGGGCGTGGGCGGTGCTGAGGGCGGGAGGAGGCGGGGGCGGCCAACCCTTGAGGCGGAGGCTTGTCCCTGCCCTGCACCTGCTCCTGTTCCGGGCTTGTCGCCTCTGCCTGCTCGCCTGGCTGTGCCTGCCCTTGCTCTGCCCCCGCATCTGTCCCTGTCCCTTGCTCTGCCCCCGTATCTGTCCCTGTTCCTGCCCTGTCTCTGTCCTTGCTTCTGTATCTCCTCCTGTCTCGACCCCTGTCCCAGGAATTCGGGCAGGACAAGGTCCTGCAAAAGCACAGCCATGGCAGGGGTGGTAGTGTGGTATCATACTTGTTTAAAATCATTTTATAGTAAAATACTGGGTTTATTAGCAGCATATAACCCCAAAGGAGGTGCAGTTTAAGTTACTTAAATCCATGTTCTTAAAATACTATGATACTTTTCTAGGGAAAGGGAGACTTGGTATCATCCCAACACAAAGGCATCAGGGACTTCACAAGGAGCAGAGTATTTTATAGACACTGTCATAACCTAGGCAAGGAGGATGGGTTCTCTATTTCACTGGTATGTTATTTACAGAATAATCTGCCTAAACCAATTCTTCTCATCTCCAAGCAATTTGTTATCCTTCAGATAAGGAAACATATTTTTTTCATTTTTATCTCTACTCTAAGCAATTCAGGGGGATGCTCATGAGAGCACACCCCTCCCTTCCCAGTTCACCCAGCTCTGGAAATGTCAGTCTGTCCATATATGATTGTTTGCCAGCTGATAGGACAACAACACACTTGTACTTTTCCAGACCTCTTTCCTAAGACCTTTTCCCTAGTTCAGTTAACAACAGCTGCTGGAAAGCTCCTCCCTGAGGGAGGAGAGAAGACCTCATTGATTTTACAAGAATAATTTCACAACACACAAACAAACCAGGACTGGCGCTGCTGTCGGGCGAGGAAGGCTGTCTGTGTGTGAGAGCTGTAGGCGAGACCCCCGGGGCTGTGCTGGGTCATGTTTGCTTGCCCTGGCGGAGATCCAGTGTCACGTGCAAGTCGTGGCCATCGGGTCACTTTCTGCCTTGGGGCAGGTGTCAAATGCTGAGTATTAAAGGAATCAGCACCACCGTGGGGCAGGAGCAACGGCCAGCATGAAGGAAAAACAAGTGTTAGAAGATTTGGAAATGCACCTCCCAAGGAGAGATGCAGAGGCCCTCTTCCAAGAGCAGCCTGAGACTGGGAACCAGTACTTGGAAGACACTTTGCTTCGGAGTTACTTGGAAACACACCTTCCTCCCAAGGTCAGTTGGCGTTTCTGTGTGTACCCACCACGATTCTGCCGAGTCGCTGCCTCTGACTCTGAACTGAACATTTGTCTGAGGCTTGTTGTGCCTTTGAGTGTTTAACTGGAGGGAATTTATCAGCATTCCTTAAAACCTGTCATGTTTGAGGGCAGAGGTGACAAACACTGCCATGACACACACAGCAAGTGGCCCAGTGGGCTCCTGGGACGGGGCTGGGTGTTGCAGGGCTGTTTTGGGATTGTCAGTGTGGGCATTTGTTGTCTGGTCATGTAGAGAAAGGAATTTCTGAGACAGGAATCAGACCAAGACGCTTGCAAACTCTGCTTTGTTCTTCCACCTCTCTTCCTGGTGAAGGAGGGGTTTTAAGGAAAATTCCTAAGGACTGGGGCTGTTCTCAGCCGAGTACTCAAGAGGGTGGAAAGGCCCCTTGGGCTTGCTTGCTCCCAGCACACATCGGTGGCATTTCATTTCTTCAGCCAGGAAAGGCTCTGCATGGATTTCAGGGGTGCAGATGAGGAGGTGAGGGGGTGAGGCCCCAAGCTCTGGATGTCCTACAGGAACCCCTGGGAGGAGGCTCACCTCTCTGGCTGGCCTCTGCCATCCCCCCAAGGGCCACAAGTGCTTCCCACTTTTCAGGGAGCAGTTTTCATGGAGCAGAGTGTGACCTCTCTCCGTGATTTATTCCAGCAGAAGCAATGCCATGACTTCTAAAGCCACCAGATGATCATAGGGGAGGGGACCTGGCTTTCAGTGAGGCTCCCACGTCCCCTGCTTGCTCTCCAGGTCTGTGAGGCCTGGCAGACACAGGGTGGGAAGAGTGTGGTGGCAGTGCTGGGAGCTTGTCACAGCAATCCCAAAAGAGAGGAATGAGGCACCACCATGGCCTTCTTGGCAGAAGAAAAGACAGGAAAGAAGGACACCTTTGGGTAACCATGAAGGTCCTGCTCCTAATCTGCACCTTCAGAAGAAGCATGATCCAGGTCTCCCAGAGAATAAAAGGATCAGTACAACAAGGCTGCTTCCACTCCTTCCCCAAATTGAGAAGAGCAGCTCCAAAATCTCCCAGAGAACCAGGAGCAGCATTTTCCTTTCGTTTCTGCACTCTGTCCCAGCGGGGCAGTGTTGCCTCACTGCTGGAAAGGAGAGCCCGGGCTGCTGCCAGCAGCACTGAGAGCCTGCTCTCCATGGGAACACCTTCTTCTCCAGGGCAGTGAGAACCCCTGAAGCTTTGGGTGCCCCACCGAAGCTGGAGGATGATTCCTGTTGTGCTATTCCATGTCAAACACAGAAATTTTCTTGAAATGGCACAAATTTTTTCTTTCTCTGTTTGAAGGTGATTTAAGGAGAAGGCTGAATTAAGCATCTGCTTTTTCTGGGTGTTGTTGTGAAGAGGGATCTATCAGGCTTTGCTGCCCTGAAAATACATCCTTTAATATAAAGGATGCACTCCTAATGAGTATCAATTTGCACATTTCCCATATCTTCATGCTTGGGACATCAAAGGACAGATTAGGGTGAATGAGACCACCCAGCAGCCTCAGCCCTGACCCAAGTGATTTGTCCTCTCCACATCCCAGTGTCCTTTCTTTGGAGCACTGAGGCTGCTGTGTGTGACATTCAGCAGTCACAAGTGTAGGAGTTTTGATTTTTTTCCATCACCTTGGAAATAAACACTTTTTTTGGGTAATTTGGTGGTTTGGCAGGCTGTGTGTGGTCAGGGCATGAGCTCCCAGTGAAGCAGCTGGTGGCTTTTAGGAAATATGGATGATGGTGAAGGGATTGTTGTACGAATTCCTTGTATGAACTCAGACCAAGAGATCTGCTTGGTAGACTCATGTTTTTCTGCCTGCAAATCCCACCAGGTCAACAGTTCAAAGAGTCCCGTGCTTCAGCAAAGTCCATGAACTTTGGATTCCTGGGTTATGCCTCGGAAACAACCTTCAAATTGTTGTCAGCCTTCAACTGTTGGCAAATTGTTGTTCAAAGATTAGAGGTGCACGTCCATGGCAGATACGGATGCGGCATGAGCTGGAGCAGCTGACAGACTCTCATGCATGGTTTTGGCTTGTTTTGTGATTTTTAACATTGTTTCACTGTTCTGCTGAAGGAAAGCTGGCTGGTCTGAGGATGGAGACTTCCAGAGTGGCACCTGGAGAATGTGTGTTTGATCCTCGTCACACACACGGAATGGCAGAGGGAGGAAGGAATCAATCACACAGGGTGTAGATTAATGGAAGGTCAATACAGGGGCAGGCAGGGAAGGAAAAAGCCATGTTTGTATTTCATCAACAGGAAATTAAGGGGTTTATAATTGCACAATTTTGGGTGCAGCAATTATTGCGTTTTCCTCCTTAATTATTTTATTGAGGAGGGAACAAGCATTTCTCAAGAGGCAGAGAACAGCAAAAAATATTCCTCTCATGGAAGAAAATCAGGTACCTCTTTGATCCCCAACACAGTCTTGGATGTGTTTAGGCCAATGAGGTCCAACAGGGCTGGAGGTTGGGTCCTCCTTGCCTGATTTTAGTAATCTATATTCAGGTTATTTAAATCTGGGTAACTTCACTTGGCTTTGCTCTTAAACATGGAAGAGAACTTGCACAAGGCAATTCCTGTCACCCTGAAATAGGGATCTGAGGGGGTTGGAATCAATCACTCCTCTGTGAGTGCTGGTTTCCCTCCATTAACTACAGACATATTACTCCATCCAGGTCAGCCAAGCCCAGCAGAAATGAGGGCACATTAATCCTTCAGGAAGCATCCCTGGGTGCAGGGTGGGAATTTGAATCTAGACGTTGTGTGCCAGGCTGAAGCTGAAAAGACTGCTCCATCCCTCCTTTTCTAATCTGACAGGCAGGTAGCTGCTGAGCCCAGTGGAAGTTTTCCTGTACAGATGAAGGCATTCTGGTTTTGGCAGCCTTTCCCTTGGCATTCTTCTCCAGCAGTAAATCACAGAGTGGCCGAGGGACCTCTGGAGACTGTCTCGTCCAACCCCCCTGCTCGTGTGCATCTGTGTCATTCTCAGCCGTGACACTAAAGTGCTTCTGTCCTTTGTGAAATCCAGACATGCTGCCAAAAGTAACTTGAAAAAGTGATATTGAGGGGAAAAAAGAGAAAAAGTGACAGCGGAGCACAGCTGTACCAGCAGAGGCTGAGGGAGCTGTCGTGCTGTGTTGTGGAATGCATGGAAGGGCCAAGTGGCAGGAGACCACTGGCATTGCAGGACAACATGGTCAGTCCTCTGCCCTCCCAGCTGGCACTGAGGCTGGGATGTGCTGAAGGGCTCTCCTTGCTGCTCCACAGGTCCTAGAGGAGGTGCATCAGGACCTGGAGAGGTTTGGAAACCGCTTGCTGACCAAGATCCAGCCTCTGAGCTGGGAATGTGAGCTGAACCCCCCTGTGTTCCGGCAGTACGATGCCTGGGGGCGGCGCGTGGATCACATCCACACCTGCTCAGCATGGAGGAGGATGAAGGAGATTTCAGCAGAAGAAGGGCTGATTGCTGAGGCCTATGAGAAAAGATACTCCAACTGGAGGTAACTGGGGCAAATTGGGAATGACTCAGAGCCTTCCTGATTATGCTTAGCAAGGTTTATTCAGCATTTTGCAGGACTGAGCTGGTTGTGTAACCAGTAGCAGATGCTGCATGGACACCAGCACACCTCCTGCTGTCCTCAGCAGCTCTCTCTGTCCACTGCAATGTTCCACCTCACCAATGATAAGCCATAACTAATGGCCCACACTTGATCATAATATTCTTTGATGTCACCTTCCTGATTGTGGTGCCTGGCAGTTCCCTGCACCACTCCAGCTTTGTGTGTGTTAGTTGTAATGCAGCTAAAGATGTGGGATTTCACTTGCAGGTGTTTTGTATTCCAGACCATGGAGAGAGACCCACATTTCTTATTGTTTAAAAACTGCACAAGCTGCCCTGGTGCTGGCTGTCCCACTGGGACTGAGAAACTCTACTGCTCCTCTTCCCTCTTCCTGGCTGGAACAGTTTTTGCCCTCTCAGAAATAAATGGTCTGATCCTCACATGTTCTGGCTGTAATTTTTCCTCTCTTCCCAGTCGAGGTATTTTATCCTCGTGCTGTTGCATTGCTGTGTAACCCATCTGTTTTCCCTCTGTCTCTCCTTCTCCCAGCCGCCTGTACCAGGCTGTCAAACTGTACTTGTTCTCAAGCTCCTCTGGAGGTTTCAGCTGTCCACTGGCCATGACTGATGGGGCAGCCAAAGTCATTGAGGTATGAGCTCGGCTGGTCCCCGAGGGCACAGCCCACGTCCTGGCACTGCAGGTTAGAGGCAGGAGCACCAGCCAAGGATGGAGGAGCACTGATCCATCTGGTTCTGGGCACAGCCCTTCCTTGCTCTGTGACTCAGCTCTGTCTCCCAAAGCCTTTGAGCCCACGCCAACTTTTAAATTCACTGACAGCACTGTGCCTTTGCTGCACATGGCACCTGTGGCACTGCAGGTAGCTGGAAAGGTGTCTCAGGTGGAAGGAAGTGTCCAAGGCCAGGTTGGACAGGGCTTGGAGCAACCTGGGATAGTAGAAGGTGTCTCTGTCCGTGGCAGGGGGTGGCACTGGATGAGCTTTAGGACCCCTTGCAACCCAAAGCATTCTGTATTTCTATGATCCTATGAATATATTTTTATATTTGCAAGGCGATTTGTTTTCCCATATTTGTGTGGAGTGGCAGTTAGATATAATAGGCTAGATCCATACCTGATGTAAACTCACCAAACCACCAAGACTCTACCAATTGGAATGTTTGGCTCTGCATCTTAATGATCCCCTTTGCATTGCCTCAGTGGCTATGCAGGGTTCAGAGGAAAGTATCCCTTAGGTAACCAGCCCTGGCCATTTAAATACACAAAAACTTAAGGCAGCAAAAGGCAGTTCCCTCTTCACTGCAGCATACATGAGCCTGGCACATGGGTTGTTTGAGACCTCTCTCCCCAGAAATCCAAGGGGATAGGGATGCTCAGCACTCCGTGTTGTAACACAGGTCTGCACCTTCTGTCTGCACAGTGCTGCAGCAGCTGGTGAGAGCTGTGCTGGCTCATAAGCTCTCAGCAGCACCTGCAGATCCTCTGCAGTGCAGGACACCCACCTGCCTTCCAGACTGGCCTGTCTGAGCCCTGAACACACCACTTAAGGCAACTGTGTAATGTCAACTATTGTGTTGTGATCATCTCAGTTTATTTTCTCTCTCCTCGAACAGTCACTGGGTGTTCCTGGATCTCTGAAAAACGCTTTTGACCGTCTGACATCCCGCGACCCTGAGAAGTTCTGGACCTCTGGCCAGTGGATGACCGAGCGAAGGGGTGGCTCAGATGTCGGTACGGCTGTGGGGTGGGAACAGATGTGGCAGTGAGAGCTGAACACAAAGGATGTGGGGAACCTAAAAAACCAGGGAGCTGGTTTAGGACTTCAGCAGAAATCATCCAAATCCTCTGCACAGCTCTGCTTTTTAACCAACAAAAGACCCAGTCCCTGTCCTCTTGTGCACACAGAGCCCTTTGTGTTCTTGGCTGAGGTAACTCCTAAAGAACTGGATTATACACACTGCATTTCTTATCGAGGGTCAATGAAAGAGATTAACAGCTAACCCATGCTCCATCTTCATAGTGAGAAGTGCCTTAAAGGAGCTGCTGCTTACTCTGTAAAATCAACAGTGATTGGCACAGAAGTTCCCATAAGACCAGGAAATTTTCACCTCTGTTTCAGCAAATGGCACCGAGACGGTGGCCAGGAAGCAGCCGGATGGCACCTATCGTCTGTATGGATTTAAGTGGTTCACATCAGCAGCTGATTCTGATGTGGCATTAACCCTGGCCAGGATAGCAGATGCTGAAGGACAGGTAAGCCAGTTCTGTTGGATGGGGAACCATGGGAAGGAACAGGGGCATTCTTTTTCTTCCTTGTTGCATTGTAATAAAATCCTCTCTGTGCCTTGCAGTGTACCCAGGGCTCCAGAGGCCTGTCCCTGTTCTTCCTGAGGGTTCGAGATGAGGAGGGGAAGCTGAACAACATCCAGGTGCAAAGGCTGAAGGACAAGCTGGGCACGAGGCAAATGGCAACAGCAGAGCTGTGGCTGCAAGGAGCCAGAGCAGAACTGGTGTGTAAGAGTTCCTCTGCCCTGGGGACTGGGCTGCCCTGGCATGGCACTCGCTCCTGGGGCTTTCAGCAGAGATCCCAACTGAAAAACTTCCTCTCTTCTATCTCTGTGGCTTGGCTGCTGACATCACAGAACAATTCACTGGTGGGGCTCTGTGTGAGGCAGAGCTGAGAAGAGCTCAGGAAAAGATGTGAGAGAAGACAACAACAACAACAAAAAAGTTATTTTAGGCTGGTCATTTCTCTAATCCTGGTTCCCGAGCCAGCAGAGGGACAGGTTGTGTAGTGTGCAGGTAGGAGCAAGCAGCAGGGACCAGGACTGATCATGCTGACATCCAAAAGCTGCTTCTCTGGTCATAGAAACACAATTCCAGGATAGGTTGGGTTGGAAAGAACCTTAAAGCTCATTTCATTCCAACCCTTGCCATGGGCAGGGACACCTTCCACCAGACCAGGTTGCTCCAAGTCCCATCCAGCCTGGCCTGGGACACTTCCAGGGATGGGGCAGCCACATCACACCACAGACTTGGCTAAAATGACACAAATGTATTTTAAAGCAAGCCGGTCTCTGAGTGCCTGAGGGCAGACAGGGACAGAGTGGACAGCCCATGTCCATGTGTCTGTTGACACCGTTTTCCTTCCCATGTCCATCCCTATCCCAGGCATGTGAAAGGCTCATGTCAGCCCTTTCCTTGCAGATCTCTGCAGAGGGCCGTGGGGTGGCTGCCATCTCCAACATGCTGAACATCACTCGGATCCACAACGTCATTGGTGCCGTGGCTTCCATGAGAAGGTGAAGGCAGCACGGATCCCCCCAGGGCTGAAGGAGCAGCTGGTCAGGACAGGGGGACTTTGCAGTGCTTGGCATGGAGCCGAGTGTCCCCTTTGGGGGACAGGCTGGAGGAGGGTGACCTGTGGGTGGGTGACCTTTACAGGTGTGGTACAGCTGAGCAGGGTTCTATGGTAGAGGGGACTGCAAGGGAATGCTCAGAAGTGGAAAGCTGCTGGTGTAACTGTTCCCTGTGTGTGTTCCCATCCTCCAGGATGATCAGTCTGAGCAGGGACTACGCCTGCAAGCGCATGGCCTTCGGGAAGCTCCTCAAGGACCATCCCCTGCACATGCAGACAATAGCCCGGATGGAGGTGAGGCTGTTGGGAGCCAAGCTGGACCTGTTGGGAAGGAAAGAGGGCAGAGATCCTGTGCTGTTAGTAAGCACAGCCAGCCTGCCTGCACTCCGAGTTAGGAGGCCATTCCTGCTACAGCAAGGTGGATGCAGCAAGGGAATTGTTGTACTCTAGTGGGATTTGTTCTGATAACAGACCTAACTCCTCTGCTGGACTTCAGGTTATCCTAAACAATTACCTGGGAGTTTCCCTGAGAGAAAGGAGTGCCCTTACTATGATAGCCATGACCCAAAGTTGGGTGCTTGCCTCAGAATCCAGGCCTGGCACCACAGCCACCTGACTGTCCAAGACTGGTATGGACTCATCCAACTTCCCTGGGAGCTTCTGCACCAGGAGATGGGCTGTAAACAGTATTTTAAAATTCTCTTGCAAGGTGGGGGAAGGTGGTCAGCATCTGTCAAACATGACTTCAGGCTCCAGCCTCTCACTGCCTGTGGACAGAACTCCCCCTCTGAAAGGAAGGGCAAATTGTTCCACAACACACAGCTCCATACCCTGATGCTTCCTAAATCAAAACTTGCTGGGAAGTAAGCTGCTCAGGAAGAAATCTGTCACAGACTCTGCAGCTCCAGCTGCTCAGAGGTTGACCATCATCTCACATCCATTACCTTTTGAAAATTTGTGTATTTGGGGCCTGGATGCCTTTTAGGAGTCTTGTTAAGGCTCAAGGAGGCCTGATGCCTTTACTTACAGTGTCCAAGAGTGGCAGAGAACCTTAAATATTCCATGCTTTGTGCCTTGGCTGCTCTGAATCTCTGAAGCTGCGGGTCTGAGTAGGCAGGGGCTCATTTTACCCTGGAGGCAATCTCATGCATGGGGTCCTGGAGCCAGCAGAGTCTCAGACCCCTGCCAGTGACCCTGTCCTCTGCTCACAGGTGCAGGTGAGGGGGGCGTTTCTGCTGCTCATGGACATCGTTCGCCTGCTGGGCCTGGCTGAAACCAAGCTGGCGAGTGAGCAGGAGCAGCTGCTGCTGAGGCTGCTCATCCCAGTGGCCAAGCTGTACACGGGGAAGCAGGTATGGAACAGATTGATTAGCCCAGAGTGTGGAATGTTGGCAGCCACAGAGCTGGGAAGAGGAGTGAGTGACACAGCAGTGAGAGCAGGGGGTACCTGCAGGACCTGCAGCAGTTCCTGCTCTGGAGGCAGCTGCTCCTGCAGGTCCTCTCAGTGTCACTCAGGCTTCACTCCCATCTGCTCCTCCTGCAGGTAATGACCAACCTGCCTCAGGAGATGAGCAGGACCCAGTCAGCCCATCCCAGCAGGAGCTGCTGTGTGCTGTGGGAGGTTGGATTTTCCCCTCAGGCACTGTGGATCATGCCAGCTCTCTGCATTTTGCAGGCTTCTGCCGTGGCTGTTGAGGCGATGGAGAGTTTTGGGGGCCAAGGTTACATGGAGGACACAGGCTTGCCAGTCATACTCCGGGATGCTCTGGTAAGAGGGTGGCAGGAGAAGGTCCTGTGTGTCACCAAGTCCCCTGCACAGCACTCTGGTTCCCTGCTAAAGACACACTCTAGGGAGAGCACAGCCCTCCCAGGCTCTCTCCAGGTGTGTCAGCTCCTGCCTCACCTCCTTCCTGCTGAGCCCAGTCATCCCCAGGGGAGGACAGGATGTGTTCCTGGTGCTGTTCCCTAGCACTGCAAGGGGCTGGGCTCCACTGCTCCCTTCCACTTGTTGTGAGACAAGACATCTCTGGAGATATCCTTGGTATCCCTTACTTCTGCCCTGTGTCTCTGCTCCCTCACACTCCCCTGTGCTGCAGTCACTGCAGGGGCTCCCTGATGCTGTTCCACAGGTGCTGTCCATATGGGAGGGAACAACAAATATCCTGTCCCTGGATGTGCTGCGCTGCCTGGCCAAGAGCCACGGGCAGGTGATGGCTGTGTTCCTGTCCACAGTGCAGGTGAGCCCACGGCTGCAGCCCTGAGCCACCCACCCTGGCAGGGCCTTCTTTGGGCTTTGTGCTCCTGGCTGAGGCTGCCAGGGAATAGGCCCAAACGGAAAGCTTTAGACAAGTATTCCAACAATTGGAATTGTGTCTTACAATTCCGCCCCTTAAACAGCTCTTCCAAAAACAGAATGCAGGCAGTGCTAATCCTGGGATCCTTGTGTGCTTTCAGCTCAGCAGTGGGGAGCTTGGCACTGTCAGAGTTCCTCAAGACAGGTACCAAAATAGGTGTATTTTAAATGTGACTCACCTTCCTGAATCCAAAATAATTTTGTGGTTTTGTTTCTTAACTGGAAAATCACCACAGGACTGCTGAATATTGAACCTCACTAGGGCTATCTACTGCATTATGACTTTCTATTTTTATTCCCTGAAAAGATGGAAAGAGCCAAAGGAATTCCATTTCTGCCTCTTTGGATTTGCTGTTCTCTGGCTCTACTTTTAAAGCTGCTCAGGTGACAGGAGTTCAAAACAGCTCAGAGTTTCGTGAAGGTGAAGGAGCATCTCCTGGCTTGGTGCATCCCAAAAAGGGAGACAGGAGGCAGGATCAAGGCTGTTGTCTCAGAGGTGACATTATTAATCCAGACACAGCAATCCAGATCTCGTTAACCCAGTCACAGCAAGGGAATCCTGGGCATCTGGAGTGCTAGGTTTGGTGGTGTAGCAGCCTTCACCTTCCCACCCAGACCCCATGAGAAGGGAAGAGTCTGGGACAATGCTCTCCTCCAGCACTGGGGACTGGACAGAGTTTTCCAGAGCCTGAGTGGTTCTCACAGTGTTTGCAGTTGGCAACTTGTGTCCCATCTCACCCCCCAGTTCAGCTGTGCTCTGTACACAGCACCTCTCTGACCTCCAGGGGTGAGGGTCCCCTTGCCATCCTCTCAGAAAGCTTTTGAGAAGGGAGAAATGCCTCAAACGATTTGGGCACCAAACAAGAAGCCAAATGATTTCAGGAGCAGGACTGAGCACATCTGCTGGGGGCAAATCCAGCTGTTGGCAAACAGCTGCTTAGGCTGGCACTGCAGGTAATGGATGGATGGATGGGGAAGTAAAGGAGCTGCGGGTAGGCTCTAAAATAATTTGGAAAGAAGCAGCCTCCACAGTCTTACACTGAGCACTAATTTAAACAAACACCCTCAAAGGTGCTGTGCTGCACCCTGGAGCAGCTCCCTGGTGCAGCTGGGAGGCCCCTCCAGCTGCTGAACAGCTGGATAATCAGGGGAGCATTAGGGAGCACAGCGCCGTGATGCAGAGCAGGGACCAGCAGAGCAGTCACAGAGCACTGAGATTCATTAATTAACGAGCTCCTCAGTGCTCCCATCAATCACGCTGTGGGTGAGGCTGGAGGGGGAGGGGGAGTGCTGGCTCCAAGGTCTCCACATTCCAGTAATGCCACTGCCTTTACTGTCCATGTCACACTGAGGCTGCTGCATGTCCAGGGAGAGGGTTGGGTCGGGCTCAGCAGTGTGGATGCTCCAGTTCTGGATAGAATCAGCCCTGGCCAGTTTAAGCTTTTCCTTTATGCCTCGGGCAGCCAGGTGCTGGAAAGGCAGCCTGGGAGGGATTTCTGTCTGCAGAGTTCTGCAGGAACATGCTTGAGTTTCTAGACCAGAATCAGGTTTCCACTCACAGGTGATAAACAACATCTTTCTGAGCTCCAGGTGTCCAAATTCTTTCAGTCTGTGAGTCTGGTTAATTTTGAAACATCCCTCCCAATCCTGTCTACTGAGGAAATAATTTAACCCATCGTAAAGGGGTTTTTACTGCTCCAATCCATTTCCTTTTTATTGATGCACACAAACCGAGTACAATTTATTTTATGTCTGTCCATCAAGGTTCTCAGTGTGCAGGACTTGTGCCCATTGTCAGAGGCTGTACAGAAAGCAGCATTAGTACCTGTACAGCTCTTGGTTCTCTGAAGGTCATTTCAAGGTAACTCCAGGTTTTGCTTCTATCCTGTGTCCATTGTCTCTACTGATGGTGAGATGCCCAGTGCTGCTGGGGCTGTGATCAGGAGCAGGAACCAAGGGTTGTAATTATCCTTAGGAAAAGGGAAATACAGAGAACTTCCCCATCCTTGCACAATGTGACTGTGAGAAGTTGAATTTTTAGGGTTTTTAATACACAGGTGAGTTTGTGACAAACCACCTTGTCGAGAGGTTCTGAGTCTGGAAATCCTGGGGAGAACAGTGAGTGTGAGAGACAGGGATGGACTCATGGAATGATTTGGGTTTGAAGGGACCTAAAAACACCTCTCATCCCACCCCTGTGACTTTTTACTAGCCCCAGGGTTCTCCAAGCCCTGTCCAGCCTGGCCTCGGGCACTGCCAGGGATCCAGGGGCAGCCACAGCTGCTCTGGGCACCCTGTGCCAGGGCCTGCCCACCCTCCCAGGGAACAATTCCTAATTCCCAATACCTTAAGGACAAATGATGCTTTTACATTCCTGATCCATATTTCCAGGTGTTCAAATCCTCCAGCTGTGGCAGTGTGGCCGTGTCCCAGCACAAGCAGCAGGTGTTGTCCCCGTGCTCGGCCAGGGCCATGCTGGCTCCCACCCAAACTGTGGCAATTGGTGCCTCTGGGATCTGTGATCCTCATTAGCAGCAGCCTCCAAGCTACTTCAGAACACCTCATTAGTATTCCATGGCTTGGAGGATTATGGGCTTTATGCTGGCACTGGAGCTGTTCTTGTATTTGACCAGCACATGCTGGGGGTGTTTCTGCCCCTGGAGCCCAGAAGAGCAGTACTGGGAAGTGTGGAAGTGTGCAAGTCTGGGGTCTGAGCAGTCAGAGAACACGGAGCAAACCTGGGCTCAGCCCAGCCCAGATGGATTTCCTGCTCCAGTAAGAGGAGCTGCGGGATCACCTCAGCACTGAAAGCCTGAGAAACATAAAAAATTCCTTCTGTGTAGCTGATGCTCACAGGCTTCAGTCTTGTCTGCAGGTTATTGATGGAGCTAATTAATGAACAGCACCTCCCACCACGCTGTGCTGCTCACATCCAGCCTCTGGGGATGCTCTCCAAGCTGATCCCTCAGTCCTGCTGCAGAGAGAGGGGCTAGAGTGGGGAAAGATGGGAGCACAGCACACGAGGCAGCCCCAAACACAGGCATGTCCCATCCCTCCTAACAGGGAACAACACAGGAGACACAGGTGAACAGCGTGGGAATGCCCTGCCCAAAGAACAACAGCTCACTCTCTCAGCAGAGCAGCCCTGGTGCTTTCACAAGGGATTTGGGATGTGGCAGAACAGAAGCTCAGCTCGACCAGGGGAGAATCCAGGCAGTGCTGCTGGCACAGTTAAATTCCCAATCTTCATCAGAATCACAGAATCCTTTAGGTTAGAAAAGCTCTCTGGGATCAAGTCCAGTCATTCCCCAGCCCTGCCAAGGCCACCACTTACCCATGTCCCCAAGTGCCACATCCACATCCCTCCAGGGATGGGGATCCACCACTGCCCTGGGCAGCTGTGCCAGTGCCTGACCACCCTTTCAGTGAAGAAATTTTCTCTAATATCCAACCTGAACCTCTCCCAGTGGCACTTGAAGCCATTCCCTCTTGTCCTGGGACCTTTCCCACTGACACAATGTGCAGAGGAAAGCTCCTTTAAATGTGAATTTTCCTGCCTGGACACAGCTTGAGCGTATTTGTGCAAATTATTATATAACGCTGGGAGAATTAGGCCTCATACAGGAGTAGAGTTAGAGAGAACTGGGGATGAGAGCTGGTTCCCACCTGCAGCTGGGAAGCCAGAATGGAACAGCAATGTGCTGGCTCTGATCACAGGGAATTCTCCCTGCCCAAGGCAAGGCTGGAGCTTTCTTTTGGGCACATTCCCTTCCCTGGCTGCTCCCCCTGTGCCAGTGCAGCCACCTGGATCTGAGTTTGCTGTCAGCATCTGGGTGTGCCCAGGGCCCCAGCAGCCCCTTCCCCGGCACAAGGGAAATACAATGGAATTTTTCCTGTGGTGATTCTCTCTGCAGAAAAAGCTGGAGCTGGCTTCAGGCACTGAGGAACTGTCCCCGGCCGTGCAGCGGGCACAGGAAGCCATCGGGAGCCTCCGCCAGTTCCTGGCAGCCACGGGCTCAGAGCAGGCACTGACCATGGAGCTGGCAGCCAGGGACCTTTCCTACAGCCTGGCACGGATCTACACAGGCAGGGCAACCACAGCATCACAGATCCATGCAATGGGCTGGGTGGGAAGGGACCTCAAAGCTCATCCACTGTCACCCTGGCCTCCTGTAGACTCCAGCAGCTCCAGGTCCTTCCTGTGCTTATGGATTTCAGACAGGACAGGGCTGGGAATCAGCCACAGACGCCGGATTCACACCTGGCTCAAGGGCGGAGCTCTGAGGCTCAGTCCCCACCTTTCACGCTGAAGCAGCTCAGCCTTCAAGCACTGCTGAGGAGTAACCACCATCCTTCTTCCCGAGCCCCGGGCTGTTCTGGCAGCAGCCTGGGGATGCTCACACCTCCTGTCCCCGCAGGAGCTCTGCTGATGGAGCACGCGGCTCGGCCTGGCGCTTCCTCCACAGACACCTGCGCTGCCCTGAGGTAGGCACAGCCCTGTCACCCGAGTGTTCTGGATGGTTCCATGGGCTGTGCTCTGCCTCCAAGCCCTGGCCATGGCCAGAGCCCCAGCTGGGAACAAGCAGCGGCTGCTGAGCCCGGGGCTGTTCCCTGCTCGGGCGATCTCCATTCCCGCAGGGATGGCGGATCCCACCTGGGCACGGCTCGGGTTGGCACAGCCCCGTGCGTGTGGCAGCGCTGGCACAGCCCGGCCCTCTCTCCGTGCAGGTGGTGCAGCCAGGAGCTGTGTCCGGCGGCCGGGGAGTCACGGAGGGGCAGCTACGGGGCCGGGGCAGCGCTGCAGGACCGTGCCCTGGTGCTCGGGAGCAGCCGGCTCTGAGCCCGCCGCCCCCGCACGGACACGAGGTGGGTTCCAGTCCAAACAATCCCCCAAATCCTCAGGTAGCTGCGGATTCCAGGCGTGGTGGAACGTCCCGTTCCACAAGGAGCCAGACCAAGTCCTTTAGGAGTGACCCCCACCTGCCCCGGGCTGGAATCCACGGCTTTGAGGTTCACTCCAAGGTGCTGGAACGTTCTCACAATGCTTTAGGCAAAGTCCCAGTGATAAAATCCAGACTGGAAGCAGCAGGTCTTCAAGTGCCAACACTCTTCTTTTTAAAGAAAACCAACCAAAATCAAACTGAAAGTTATCTGAAGCTGATTAAATCCAGAAACCCACCATTCTTCCCTGTTCACCTTGCTGCTTCCCAGTGCTGACCACAGACTTCCACCCCTGGGTGGGGTTTGCTCCAGGGGCAGCCCTTTCCACCCACTGTGCCTGTGAACATTGACCTCCTCAGGAGCTGCTTCTTTCTGAAGAAAAAAGGGATTTTTATTCTTTCTGGCCTCCAGAAAGTTGATTAATTCCCTATGCACGTGCCCTAATGATGCTGCAATCCATCCTGACAGAAATTCTACATAAATTTTGGATTGAAATCCAGTAATTCTCCACCTAAGCACTGGCTGTGGGCTTCTCCTTCCCCTCAGCCCGTCAGTCGACCTGCTTGGTATTGCCCTGCTGGCTACAAGTTTTTAATTAAGAAGTTGCTAATAGAAGAAGAAAGGCACTAATAGACTGGAGACAGCTGGAATTTATAGCTGGAAAATGCTACAGCAGCCAGACACTGAGTGGGAAGGGGGAAGGAGCTGTGTGCTGAGATTGGAGCTGTCCAGAGTTTCAAAGATGGCAGAGCCAGGGGGACACAAAGGGTGGCTCTGGGGAGGAGCAGAGTGGAGCAATCCCAACAGGACACAGCAAGGGAGGCTCCAGGGGCTCCCTGTGTCCTGGCACAGGGATCACAGGCTGAGCCAAGCAGAGCTTCCCTGGAATCACCCAGATGCCATGAACCAGCAGCCAAGGGCTTCTGTTGTCTGTGCATTGCAGGGAATAAAATAAAGAACATTTGGGTTTGGAAAATCTCCTACATCATAGAATCATGGAATGGGCTGGGATGGAAGGGACTTAAAGCCCATCCAGTGCCACCCCTGCCATGGGCAGGGACACCTCCCACTGTCCCAGGCTGCTCCCAGCCCCAGTGTCCAGCCTGGCCTTGGGCACTGCCAGGGATCCAGGGGCAGCCACAGCTGCTCTGGGCACCCTGTGCCAGGGCCTGCCCACCCTGCCAGGGAACAATTCCTCATTCCCAATATCCCACCCTCCCTGCAGTTTGGTGTCAGAGATCTCAGAGGGGTCAGTGCACAGGAGCTGCTGTGCCCTGTGAAGCTCAGGGGAGCAGGAAAGTGAGGGAGCAGCGTGGGGCTCTGAGTGACCATGGCAGAACCTCCACCCCACGTGTGCCCGTGGCTGCAGCAGCAGGAGGTGGATGTGACCCAGGGGAAATCCTCGTGCTGGAGGTGTTTGCAGAGCTGATCAACACCTGGGATCCCCTGCTCTCCCTAAGGGCTCATCTCCAACTGCTGCCAATCCAGGCTTCCCCTTTCCCCAGCCTATTTTATGTTTCTGAACACCAGGATTAATTTTTCCTCATCCATGAGCTGTAATTTGCCTCCCTCAAACTGGGAGCTCTGCAGATGCACCAACTCAGAGAACAGGGGACTCTGAATTCATCACTGTGTAGGAAAATGAATTTATTAAGATCTCAATATTCACTCTGAGGCTACAGCAGAATAAAGGCTGTTGCACACATGAGGGTCTGACACTGCCAGTGCTGCTGAACAGCTCTGTCCTCAGAGCTTGGCATGGTTTCAAATATTTCATGTACTTCAAGTAAGTAATTGAGACTTCAGATGTCATTTTAATATAAATCCCACCCAAAAAGAGGACAATCAAACTCATCACCTGCTGCCACTGCAAGGCCTGAAAATAATTTTGTGACAGAGCTGTGGGAAATCGGTTTAAAACCCAGATTTGTTAAATAATAAAGTCAAACTTTAGCAGCATTTATAAAATGTCAAAGTCCAAAGAATGGTGAGCTGAAATGCCAAAATGCAGCAATGGGAACTGTGGCAGCTGCACTGCAGGAAGAGATGGACAGCTGCAAGGCCTGGGGAACACCCGGGCCAGTCCTGCAGAGCTGCCCTTGGCTCAGTGCTGACTCCAAGCCTTGTCCTGGGTAATTCAGGACCCCCTCTGTTCCACAGGCCCTGAAGCTGCTCAGCCTCCTGCACGTGGTTATTGCCCTTTGCAGGCTCCCAACAGCTCGGAACCTCTCCCAGGGCAGGCTCCCTCCCACCCCTGCAGCCTTTCCCGGGTAGTGGAGCAGTTCCCAAACACCTCCTTCCCTTCCTTCTCCAGCAGAGCCGTGGTTCCCACCCTGCCCCTGCAACCAGCACCCTCCCCTGTGCCCGGCTCTGAGAACTGAGCCCTGCCAGGGCGAGCTCCCTCCTGCCCAGCGGCTGCGGTGCCACCTCCCTGTGCCCGCTCAGGGACGGGCACCGGGGCTGAGAGGGGCGCTCCGTTCCCGGCGGCTCCTGAGGCAGGAGGCTGCTCCCCAGCCCGGGGGCAGCGCTGAAGCCGCTGTCCCGACAGGCCCATGGGCTGCCCGGGAGCTGGGACAAAGGAGGGAGGGAAGGAGACTCCTCAGGAAGAATTGATCACGGGGAAATGAGCTTGGACACTTCAGCCGTGTCCTCCGCTGGCAGGAGCTCTTCTGCGCCTTGGGGAGGCTCAGAACTCTGCTCCCTCTGCCGGGGCAGACCCACACTCGGCACTTCCCAGATCAGAAACTCCCGGCAGGGCTGTGCCCGGGGCTCGCAATACCTGCAGGACAGGGAGCCCCTGAGAAAGCCCTCAGGAGAAACTCGAGTGTGAGAGGAGCTCCAGGAAATCCCACTGAGGTGGAACTGAAACACTTTGCACGTTCCTTACACCACCAAACGCCATTCCTGCTTCTTTGCTGCTCCAGATCCCATCAGCGGCTCTACCCCAACCTGGTTTATTTTGATTTAATGAACACCATCAAAGGAATGTGATTTAATGAATCACAGAGGGATTGTGCTCAAGGTCTTGTGATGACACATCTGGCCCCACACCCCACAGAGCTGCTCTGACCCCCAAGAACTCAGGGCAAATCCTCAAAGAGAAGCAATAAATGATAGTGGGGGGCCTGAGGGGACAGGACGGTGCACAGCTGGAATGAGCAGGCAGTGCTTGGAAAATGTGAATAACCCTTGTGCAGGACCAACATCAGTTGAGTTCTCCACCTTCTGGGACAAAGAGATCTCAAACCTGAGTGAGTTTGGTTTGTTCCCAAAGAGCCACAGCTCCACCATCCCGCATCAGGATAAGGCAGGTGCAGGTGGGAATGGAGGTTCCACTGCCAAACCCTGCTGTAAGCAGGGGGAATTCCCTGGAGATCGGGGCTGCTCCTGCATTTGGGTAACATCACCACACTGAAATACCATGGCTGGTCAAGGGGAAAAGGAAAAACACGGTATGGAGGGAGCTGAGACTCTGGCACCTTTCTCTGTCCTAGGAAAACCATGCTGATTGTGCCCACAGAACCTGGCAGGGTGTGCGCTGTGTGCTTCCCCCTTCCTGGGACTCCTGCACCAGGAAAAGTTTTAATTTTTTTCTTAGGTTTAGGAGTGACAGTGTGTTGTTCCTTGGAAAGACACAGCACAGAACAGAAAGCCAAGGGCAGCAGCTGCAGCCTCCTTTTCCAAGGCCTTGGTCTTCCTACTGAGCCTCCAATATGTCCCCTCCAATGGACAGGGAAGAAAAATAAAAAATTAGAAAGTGTGTTAGCAAATGCTCCCATGCAAAAGTCTAAACTTTATTCACTTTTATTTATATATTTAACAATTCTAAAGTATTTACTTCTCGCTTTTGACAAAAATGAAAAATATAGGAGCACTTTACTCTCTTGCGGAGAGAAGGGTTATTTCTGTACACAGCTACGGAGAGACGGCTTCCTCCTTTACATACAAAGAAAAAATAATATTAATAAAAAAAGTGCTTCATCGATCCAAAAAAGCCTAAAGAGCTGCAAGCTTTTATTCACACTGTACATCCCAGCCCCGGCCCGGAGCAGACCCTCTTGGCACGTGCGGAGGCTCCGGCTGATTCTGCACCCCAAAGCCACACACAAGGTTGGGGTGTCCCCCACCCTGGCCCTGCCACCTACCCCTCGCCGCCCTGGGAGGAGCCGGACGTTCCCTCGTCCTGCTCTGCCTGTGCCTCTCTTCCAGCCCCCACCGCTGGGTTAGGAACACATCCTACACCTGCCTTGGCTGGAAGCCCCATGCTCCACTTCACTTTCAGTGTCTTTCTCTAGACCTGTGCCAGGGAGATCCCAAGATGCTCCGTCCATTCCCAGACCCCTCTCCCGCACGGACGCAGCCTCCTCCTTCCTGGACATTCACGGATCCTGGCAGGGTGGGAAGGGCACAGTCCAACCACCTCAGCATCCCCCGAGACCCAGTGAGCTCTGCCAGCTGGTTTCTGCGTGTGACCCTCCCTTTGGATGATGTGATTGTGACATTCCAGGGAAGGGAAATGCTCCTTTCCCAAGGTTTCTTGGATTTTGAGCTGTTGTATCTAGAACCCTCAAATACTCCAGCAGGATTCTTGGGAATACCATAGAGAATTAGGAATTTTGCCTAGGGAGTGAATGCACTATGAGCAGGATCTACTCTTCCTCCTTGCCAGATTGCACTAAGCAGGATCTACGGGAAGGGAAAGGGATGAGCACCTACCAGTTGGTTACAAACGGGTATTTGGGAGTTTCACCCTTCAGTGAGGTGAGTCTGATTGGGACAGAAGGAGGAAGGGGAATCCATAATCCACAATTTTGGATTGTTTTAAGCTCCTCAGGCAGCTTTTTCCTATCTGGAGTACACTGAACACAGCCTGGGAAAGGAGGAGCATCCCAGGAGGGTGCCCAGCACCAGTGCAACCCACACAGGCCGAGCCCCACAGCTGCGGGTCCCGGCCGCTCCCGTCAGTTTGGATCGTCCAGTAAAGTGCGAGTGACCAGCCAGGCCCTGACCATGGCAATGCTCTGCTCCCAGAGGGACTCACGTGGATGGGGCAAGGACAAGGCAAAGGTCTGCTCTGTCCTAGTTGGATTGAAGCAGGAATTGCCTGGTCAGATGCCTGGCAAGGCCCGGTGTGATGCCTGGCTCAGCTCTCACCCACAGCACATGCATTCCTGAGCCAGCGTTCCAGGGCTTCCCGCCGCGAGGGCTCAGACCTCGCCGATTGTGTGTGCAGGTACAGAGCTGCCAGGGCAGGAACCTGACTGAGACCCCCTCGGGCAGCCACTGTGAGAACAGAGAGGGGAAAGGTCTCTGGGAAAGGAGATTCCCACCTCTTCTAGCAGCAACAGGTTCCCAAACAGCAGTTTTGGGTTTGGAATAAGGAGTGATTGAAAGCACTGCAGGCTGCAGCTATTCAGGCTCTGCACTCCGGCCGGCCCGGCTCCCTCTGCTCCCTGCTCCCCAAAACCCTCGGTCTGCAGCAGTTCTGCATGGGACAGATAAATACCCACAGGGATCCTGGCTCCCACCAGCTCCCTCCCACCTCCAGGACCCTCCCGCAAACAAACAGATAGATTATTATATATACACACACGCACGCGCGGGGACACGGACACACGGACAGGACAGGCAGGAAAGGGGAAGAGCTGGACAAGGAGAAGCCCCGGTCCAGCGGCACATCCTCGGGGTCCGTCCCGCCCCACGCGCAGCCTCAGCCTCGGGCAAGGCTCGGCCCGGCCGCTCCCAGGCCAGCCATTCAGTTGGACGTGGCAGTGATGGGCTTGTCCAGTTCGAGGTCCAGGCTGGAGCTGCCGGGGTGGAGGCTGCTGTAGCAGGACTTGCAGACTCTGCTGGGCTCGAAGAGCTGCTGGCTGGGAACGGGCACCTTCTGGTTACAGCAACTGGAGCAGAACACGTTGCCACAATTCCTTGCGTCAGGAACAGAAGAGAAATGGGAAAGAGAAGATCAGAAGGAGTTTGACAA